GAATATCATTGAATATGATTTACAGAACATACAACAAAGTACATTGTGCGTACATTGGTACTTTTGGCCGGTGGAGCATGGAAGTATTGTTCCAAGCCACTGGGAACACGATTTGCCCTCATTTCCCCATTTTCTGTTTAGTCTTCTATTAGTCTCGTTTAGCCATTTTAGTTCTTTTTAGTCCCCTCTTAGTTTCGTTTAGTGCTTTTTCTCGAGGGTACGTATGCCGCAGTTCCGATACATCTCATTTTCACCCTGCAGCCACTCACACACCAACGTGGAAAACAATGGCCCAAGCACGGGATATAGCCCTGGCTTGGCGAGAAGATTATTGCCAATCTTTTTCCTTTCTCCACTACGGTCAAGACGAGAGGTTCGTTTCTATTCCTGGAGGGATGCGCAGCTCGCATACCGGATCTCAGACCGAAACCTTGAATTGCTCAGGGTGAAAATGAACTCGGTGAGACCCTGCATCTAGGGCGCAATTCAAGACCAGATCGACCGGTGAGAGGCTCTAGTTCTTATCGCCAAACTTGAAGTATACCGTACGAGCTATAGTCGGACCCTTGGCATTGCATAGATGTAGAACAGTATTTGGAATAAGCTTTGGAATAACATTCTCAGGGAATATCTAAATCGAAACAATAATGAGAACGGCATAGAATACACGACCAGTGGTCCAGAAAGAACCCACGATCCAGAAAGCCCGACAAAGACCCAGGTCTATAAACTCCAAGATGCAATGAAAAACAGGACTTTTGGAACACATCGAAAAATGCAAACAAAAGCGGATCTCAACCCGACCCCAAGGGGCTGGGCTGGTGGAGAAGACCCTTACTCCGTAGACGTAGAGACCTGTAAATGCCGGCAGATGCAGAAGTCTCTTTTGGGAAGTTAGTCACTGGCAAGGGCCAGGTCTCAGACCCGGGTTGGGACGCGAACTCACCTATGCTTTGGCATTGTGGCATGCATTGCAGCGACAATGGCCACAAATCTTGCAGCGCCAGATAGCCACAAAGGGTCCAGAGTTGCAGTCTGAGCACCGCCAGGTAAGGATGTTGCCGTTGGTAGCCTGGACAATGGCAAAGACATGACCGGAACACTGGTTGGCCATGATGGTGTGAAGAGGTGATATCAAACTGACGCTATAGTTAGTGTGATGAGGCTCGGACCCGGGACTCTGTCACGTACCAAGGAAGACCCGAGGGAGTGGAAGATAGCGTCGATCACCGGGAATGAGAGCTAAGCTCCTAGATTGGAGAGGAAAGATGGAGGGAAGAAGGGAGGTTAAAAGAGATGGAGACGGAGATGGGGTCAAAGTCAATTGCAAAGCAAGGCGTGGTCGAGGATAGAAAGTCAATTGAGAGAGACTGATGGAGCTAAAAATGCCAGGACGAGGCCATTATATACCCTCTCTCTCTCGATCTCAGAACACGGTGAGCAATCCCAGCAGTCGATGTCTAAACTGCCGACAGACCCTGCACGAATCCGTAATGACGCAGGTATCCGGGAAGAAATGAGGTCGTCATGGGAGAAAAGTAGAATTAAAGGAATTAAGAAGCCGATCTACCGAAAAGCTCATCTTGCATGGAACCACCGACGCCAGGCAGATCCTAGTTCGAGGACGAGATTCAGTCTCGATGGGTCATCGGGGCGAGTTGATTGGGAGGAATCGGTTAGTTCAGTTTGGGGGGAAAGCCGGAAGGGAGCCGAAGAGGAAGGGAAGTGGAGGAGATGGGAGGGGATTGGAGCAGGGGAAGACGAATACATCCAACCCTAAGTAAAACTAAGCAAAAAGAACAAATAGCAGTTCCGAATGTGTGGAAGATCGGGGCTTTGCATCCCAGCACTTCGGGTCGTCGATAATCTTGGATTTGGTGGATTTTTCCCTTTTTATACATCTCTTTTTTGCTATAATTTGACTCGATTTGTATTTCTGTGCTATTTTTCACTTAAATTCTAGCTTTATTTAAATTCAATTTCTATTTGAGACTTGTTTAATTCAATAATTCCTTTATTTCGCCTCTCTATCTATCTATTGTTCAGCCCCTGAACCCATAGACCCAGAGTCGATACATCAACTTAGACGCTTGGGCCGAGATCCACACGGGAATGTCACTATTTTCCCTTGTCCACATCGGATTTTCCTTAAAAAGTACTGAAAAAGTACCGGATCTTGAGGATATCCCTACGATCGGAACTCGACCCCCGCTGCATTAGTGCGCCGGCGCTTACACGGCCCAATTGCTTATTGAATAGCCGCAAAATGGACTTGTTGCAATTGTCGCTCTCTCACATTGTCCATCCCTGTCTCTGTTTCGGATGTCTAGAAGCCAAGACTCTCCAACGACTGGATAGGGCAGTTTCAATAAGAAACCCGGGTGGTACGCAACTCCGTTGACGGGAACTGGATCAGCTTTCGGAGAGAGCCACCTCTTCCGACGGGTGATGAATACAGATACTTTCTGGTACGTCCACCTGTCATACCTGTAGATTCAAATTAGGGCCAGGGCCGTTGCCAAAGGGGATTGGGGGCTATACTTAGTCCAGGGAAGTATATCTCCACCGGTCTATAACACACCGACACTTGTACACGACGATCACTGGACCGCGACCGAATGGCAAACCGCCTTCGAGAAGCAATCATGCAATTATTCACGGCCGACTGCATTTGGAAAGATATCGGGTCGGGTTTGCCACTCAGGAAGAGGTGGCTACGGGATTGGATCAGGTAAATTGAACTGAAATGAATTGGATTGAATTGAACTATTTGCTATCAAATTACTCATGTCGAGATCAACTCTTGCACCACTTCCACGGCCAGGGCCACTCGTCTCGAAAGAACTGGGAAAGGGGTGACACCTCCATGTTGGACGTTCCGAGGAGATCACAACATGAAGAAAGAAGAAGACCCGATGTTTGCTCTGCCAACGCTCCGTTAAGAACACCTTGTGGGTAACAAGATGCCCCTGCAGTACCCGAGTGCGGACTGCATCGCTGGGGTGAAGTGGATAGAAAGATCACTGCTACGCAAGGGAAGGGGATAATCGAACTGGTTCATTTCCGAATTAGGTATCATGTCATCAACGGGTTGCAGAGGAACCCTGCGCATCAATATGCAAAAACGCCGTCCTAGATGTAGTTCGTGCCTCGTAACGGCCATCTGCCTCATCAGTCGTTAAGGTGGAAGAGGGCCGAGACGCTGCTCGTTGTTAGTGGATGGTCACGCGACACAGCCGGTGGTAACAAACCTTTCGCCGTAATGGTGCCTCCGGATGCTCTCTGCCAATAGGCTGGACACATCAATAACAATCAGCTTCTTCGATCGCCGCAGCATCAACGGTGAGATCGGGAAGGTGTTGGTCACAACAATGTGGTCGATGGACGGGCAGGCCTCCATCTGGTCCAGTGACTCTTCGGTGAAAAGTCCGTGAGTAGCAATACAGTAGACCTTACTGGCGCCACCACGCTTCACAACAGTCTCGGCAGCTGCAATCCACGACCCGCTCTTGTCGATCATGTCATCGACAATGAAAACGGGTCGGTCGCGAACCTCGCCGACCAGCGTGATGGTCCTCTCGTCGGCGTGGCCACCGCAGACACTAGCTTCGTCATCAGACTCAACTGCGTCAAAGGAGCCACCGAGCGCGTGATCAGGAGGCTGCGACGAGGTGATGGAGATCATCGAGTTGAACATGGCGTCGGGGACGACCTCTGCACTTTCGTGGTTGCTGCCTGCCCCCGGCGTGGTGCCACCGGAATGTGAGTGTTCATTGGAGCGATAGTCATCATCAACCAATTGGCCTTGCACCAGACGCCCGGTGATGACATCCCGGACACGCACATCCGTATACTCATGGGCTGCTTCCAGCTCCGATGGGCGGCGAGCTGCAGGTGGGGTCTCGGGGCGTAAGAGCTGATCCTGGGAAGGGGGAGTAACCGGCTCCGGCTCTTCCGGGATAGGGGGAGTTGCAGGTGTTCTGTGAGAATTGTGCATGTGCAGCTCAAAATGCTGCGGGTCCTTAATCGCGCGATGATCTTCATCCACGGCATCGAAGAAGACCGTACTGTCAGTCATGGTGGCCACGGGGACCTTCGGGCGACGACGATCTGTCGTAACGATTCCGAAATTGAGCTTGAGGGTATCGGCCAACGAGGTGACTCGCTTGGTACCGCCTGCATTCTTGCTCACCACGACGGCGTCTTTCCAGCCAGCGACATTCATCCGGATCCAGCGCGCGATGAACGGTTCGGCAAAGAGGTTGTCGACCGGCTTTCCGAAGAACCCTTGCATCTGGGATGCCTAGGAGCCCATCAATATCCAAAGTATCAAACTGAACATCGCATAGAGACATACGTGCAGGTCCATGGTAATCACATGGTCCACGCCGGCGATCGTGAGGAGGTTGGCGAGCATGCGGGCCGTGATGGCACCACGATGACTCTTCTTCTTGGATTGGCGCGAATAGGGGAAATATCTCGTCTGCGTCAGCATTCACTGTAGTTTTGGAGTCAAACAGGACGGGCAGCATACGGCATGACCGCTGGACAGAGTTAGTTTGAGAGCTCACTATTCTCGGGTCAGCGACGACATACCTGTAATCGACTTCGCTGAGCCACCCTTGCATGCTGAAATCATGATCAGGAGCTCCATTACGCTGTCGTTAATCTTCTCGCTGCCACTTTGAACGATGTAGACATCCTGGTTCCGCACTGAGGTACCGATATTGACACTGGTCTCGCCATTGGCGAACTTCCCCAGGTTAGCTTTGGCAGGCACAGTGCCTAGCCTCTCGCAGATAGTATCTGCGAGGGCGGGGTGAGAATTCCCCGAGAAGATTTGGACACCACGCATTGTTGAGTGAAGAAGAGAAAAAGTTGAAGGAAGAAAAAAAAGGTCAGAAAGAGAAAAGTTCACTAGCGGAGGTGGTCTACACGGCCCGCCGTACATGGGGGGGCATCGATGGCTGATAGTTGCATCATCATCCCACCATCCCACCATGTCAAAATTCCCAGAAGTCCAGGGTGGTGGCTCGCTGATCCTGGCCTGGCAGATCAGAGATAAACATGTGTTAGTAGTGGGCGGCGGAGAGGTATGTGTTCCGTACCTGTTGATCTCCGAGCTATGACTGATCTATATATTCCGCTAGGTTGCTGCAGGGCGCATCCTGCATGCTCTCAATGCCGATGCACGAGTGACAGTGGTCTGTCCAGCTGCCGGACTTAACGAGGAGGTGGCATTCCGAGTGTCCGAGAAGCAAGTCTCGCACGTTGATCGCAATTTCCAACCCAGCGACCTTGATGATGCGGATATGGTGCTCTGTGCCATTGACGACCCGGAAGCCTCAACTCAGGTCTGGAAGCTGTGCAAGGAAAGGCGCATTGCAGCAAACATTGCTGATGTACCATCGGAGTGCGATTTCTACTTTGGCAGTGTTCATCGCGACGGACCATTGCAGGTGATGGTCAGCACCAACGGGAACGGCCCCAAGCTGGCTAGTATCGTGCGAAAGAAGATCGCCGAGACTTTGCCGGGGAATATGGGGGCTGCAATTGAGAATGTGGGAAAGCTCCGGAAGAAACTCCGGGAAATAGCCCCCAATCCGGACCAAGGACCCAAGAGAATGAAATGGTAGGTCACTTCTTCTATCCTTCCGAGCTACAACCTAACAAAGTACAGGATGTCCGGCGTGTGCGAACAATGGAGCTTGGAACAGCTTGTGGAGATGAGCGAGCGTGATATGGATAGTGTGCTCACCTACTACGAGTCGGGCAAGATCCCCACGTTCCAGGAAGTCCAAAAGTGAAAATGAAATCAAATTAACGGAAATTTTGTCTTATCAATACAGCTATGCATCTCTAAAAGTAAAACCAAAATGTGTAAAAGGCCCGAAAAGCCGGGTTATAAGAACGCCAAAGACAAGACCGCGAGGATATCCAAGAATAGTACACAAAATCAGACCTGGCTGTCACGGCGCGACGCCTTCTGAGAGACGGAGCTCCGCGGGCTGATCGGGGCGTCCAGGGGGTTTGGCGGAGCAACGCCCAGTCGGACCTCGCCGATGCGGCGCAGTAGGGACTGAAGAGCGACGCGGATCTCAGGGTTAAGATCACGGCTCAGCAACTCAACTCCGAGCGGGTAGAACGTCCCAATGTGTTTATCAAAGTCCTGTTGCGGGAAGTTGGTGTATCCGTCGATGACATCCACCACCACAGGACGCCAGGCGACAATGTTGCGGTGTTGGGTGTCCTCTTCCAGACGGACGAAGCTGCGAATGATATCCGCACAGAGACTAGAAAGGGGTTAGCGATGAATAATGAGTACGAAAAGAAATTAACGTACGGAATGAGTGCGGCCTCGGTCTCGGCGCGACTACTCTGTCTCTCCTCCCGCTCGTCGTGGTACATCCGGAAGAGAATATGCACATAAGTGGAGGCACTGCCGCTCTCCTGCTTCAACAAGTTGGGGGTTGCTTCATGAAGCCCTGGCGCCAGAGCTGCATCCGCAAGTCCTTGTCCTCGTTGAATTTCTTAGCGAACTGATAGCTCTTCTTCAGCAAGCCCATGAGTCGGAGAAGCTCTCCACTGGGGATCTGTGCATAGACGTTTTCGTTCGAGAACAATTCATGAACCGTTTCAATCATGAGCAACTGCAGAACACAGTTGGTGATGATGCGATTGAAATGCCGGCGTCGTGCAGCAGTGACAGCTGCAGGTTGTTGCTGGTCTGATTGAGGTCGGTAATCCTCTAATTCGGCACGAGCCTCACTTTGTACCGGGGGATCTCCGCTTTCTTGAAGAGAAGTTGTACTTTGCGATCCGTTGGTATGCAGCGCTTCGGGTGAATATTCGCCTGTGGCTGCAGCCGCAGAGGCAGCATCGGGAGTCTGGGACATGTCCCCATTTACGGCATCCGCCGGCTTTGACATAGACACCGCAGCAGTGAAGAGCTCATACGCAGTCGTCTTGCTGAAAAGCTCAACGAAAGCCCCAACAATCTGGGACCAGTGCTCTTGCTGGAACTTGGCAACATTCTGCAGAATTAACTGTTGCAGGCAGTTACTGCCAATGCGTGCAATCGTGTCGTTTTCTTGACAGATACACAGGGTCAACAGTTCCAAGAAGCGGCTCAGCATGTATTCCAACGCATCGAAATAATGAGTGAAGAGAGTGATCATGTTTCGCAACGCCTGGATCATTGTAGTGGATAGCCAAACCGAAAGATCCTCGTGGTTGGGAACCTTGGACATTTCTGACTTTGACTGCAAGACTACAAAGATTGGGTAAAGCAGCTGTCTCCAGAGAACATCCCAGAAGTCTCTGGGGAAGTTACCACCGTGTCGGACCAAGGTATCGAAGAGGTATGTGAGTGCTCGGGAGCGCACCTCGAGGTCATCGCCCGTCATAAGCACATCCTGGAATGCAATGAGAATAGGGTACCAGAACTGCTCCTCTTGTGATTGACGAGTAAGTTGCTTGGCAAGGTTGGTTCCATTGTCCTGGAAAGTGGCCGCGGAGGCGGCATCACGGTGGGACAATGGGCATTCAGGGGTTCGCAACATCTTGGTGACGGTTGACTTCAATGTCTCAATTGCCTGCAAGGATTTCTTCTGGAACTTGGAGTTCTTCGAGAATTCAGTGAGACAGACAATGAGGTCTGCAAAGGCGCCTTGGGTGATCACAACTCCAAACCTGGTGTTGTAGACTTGAGTGACATGATCAAAGGCCATGCTAACAATTCCCTCATAGGGTTCCCGAGCAGCAACAGTAAAGACACCAAACATGGTCTTCCAGCCAGAGCGGATGTTGTCGCCACGTGCCTGGATCATCTGGATCAGACACCGAAGAATCATGTCCTTGACAGCAGCAGTAGTGCTGTTTGCCATCACATGCTCGAAGGGCTTGAGGAAGTCCTTTTGAAACTTGAAACCAGGCAGCTCCTCGATCTCCATGAAACGCATGGAAAGCTGTCGAAGGGAGTCCAATGCAAAGAAGACAACAGTGGTGTTTGAGTGACAGCCGACATGGTTGAAGTGCTGACCCAGCACCTCCCAGATCTTGGACCACTCAATCCTGACACGCGTCATGTTGTAGTAACTGATTTCAACCAATTTCTGCAGACTGTAGGTTCGGGGCGAATCAGTGTGGCCGGAAGATTGGATCTCTTGCCAGCTGACTTCACTCAAGGCCCTAACGAACTCGATGATGGCCTCGTGTGACAGGTTTGCGGTGTTGGTAAAGATACGGTCCACGCCACGGATCATGTCTGCTGAGCGGCTTTCCATGGCGATTTCTGGACGGAAAGCAGCCGGTCCGTTTATAGAGCGCGGGCGAGCACGTCTTGTACTTTGCATGGACCTGCGAGAAGCATCCGCCGATGAAGGCACCCGTGAAACATCAGGCAACGATCCTTCATCGACACCATCACTCAGAAGCTGAAGACGGTCAAGCTGGCTGACACAAGTCAGGACATCGCGCCATGAGCCCTGGAGGTGGTTGCCCTCGGTAAGAGCGACGTCAAGCAAGGCCTTCAGAGCCTCGAAATTCTTCGGCATCATCTCCCTTACGTTTCCAAGGTTGGTGAACTTCGCCAGTGCAGTCACGAATGCCACACGAGGAGTCTCCAGGTCGAAGGCGCAGCTGATCCGAATGGCCAGCTTGAGTCCTTCCATACAGAGTCGGATAGTTTGGATGTTCTGAGTGTCCTGCATTGGTGCAGACAATCCAGACAGGAAAGACATCCAGGTGACGTTGAACATTGACCCAACATGGCGCTCCGAGGTTGCAGGGATGAAACGCGAGAGCGCATCTTTGACAGCTGTCTTGCGCTGAGCTCGAATGAGGGAGCGGTAAAGCTGTTCTGTCTTGTTGGCCATCTCTTCCGAAGCCTGGGAATACTTCTCGCCCTGGATGTCTCGTCCGACGGTAGCAAACACCTGTCCGGCTCTTGTGGCAAGGCCGGTAGGAGCGGCGGGTTGAGCGCTTAAGTTGGCAGCATGTTCTTGCTCCGTGTCAAGAACAATTTCATTGCTTCCAATCTCTTCATAGATAGCCCCAAGATAGTCAGCGGGCAAGTCTTGATTGTCGTTGATACCACGGTTGTTCTTGACAAAGTCTTCCTTTGTCATACGACGGCCCTTCATCTTTGAACTGTGCTGATCAGTGTTGAGCAAAATTACGGAGTATGCCAACACATATGCGGTGTCCGCATTGGCGAACGCATTGGGGTTTTGGGTGGTGTATCGCTCCGCAAACTTCAGCATAAACCGATCAATCTTTTGGGCTTCACCAGGCAGGCGGAAATGCTGCAAGAAGGAGCGCAGAGAGTCAACGAAACGGCGCTTTGTAAACTCCATCAGGTCGACAAATGCATGCATAATAGCAATGTTCTCTGGCTCTCCTTCGCCCAAGTACTCTCCCAGCGTAGCCTTGTCGATACGGTCATTGCGGAGCAAGAAGCTAGCAATATCTTCAGGCGACTCCGAACTAATGAAGCCTTCTTGAAGGAAGGCTTTGATTCCGCGTTTCGGCTTGAAGTTGAATTGTTGAATAGCATTTGTGAGGGCAATCTTGCGCTGCTTGACCTTTTCAATCTGGTTCGGGTCGTCCTCGGGCAGAGGTGTGGATCGTCCAGTCCCGCCTTCATGGGTTTCAGGGCGTGGTGAAATAAGGACGCTTGTGTCTAAGGACTCGCGGGAATTGTCAATCGACTTTGACGGAACAGCCGTTTCGGGTTGTTCGTCCAGTCGCTGGGCAGCCCAGTTGTCTAGCGAGCGCAGCATCTCAACAAGACACTCAATAGCCTGTTGCTTCAAACCGTACTCCGGGGGAATATGTGGCATTGAGGATGGAGGAGTAGGCACAATGTGCGCACTTGTCAAGGAAAGGGGAAGGGTTCCTCGGTGATGCCATTCCGAGCCAATACTTGTCATTTTAACATGCTGTTCTTGGTACTGCTGTTGCTGAGAAGCTGACGTAACGACAGGCACACTTGCGTAACGTGAGAGTTGTTCAATGATACTAAAAATGTTAGTTGAGGTGGAGCAGAGTCGATTTTGAGAATCACATACTTCTGGAAGATATTCTCCAAGGCGGTGCGATCACAATCGTAGTTGAGATAAATTTCAACCAAAGCCCGCGGGTCACCACCGAGCCTCTCTAGTACTTCCATGAAATATTGCTTTTGGAACGCAGGAGCCGCGCGTTTTTCGAGAATGGCCAAGTAGATTTCTTTCAGGAACACTTCCAGCTCCTTCTTCATCATGACTCTCATGTCCTTCAGCATCAGCCAGAAGATCTCACAGCAGACCTTGAAGACATGAGGCACAGCACTGGAGCCATTGCGACTCAGACTGAGGCACAGATGAGGTCGTACTGCCAGGAGGAGTGTCATTCCATCTGTGCTGGAGGAGCTGTTCTTGATCGCAGCAAGAGGAGAGGTGAATGTTGCGGTGTGGTTGTTGATGAGATAGTGGATGAGGTGCAGCGAGAGAAGCTTCGATCTCATGTTCTGAGACTTCACATCTTGTTGCTGCTCATGAGACAAAACCTTGTGGCTCAGCTTGCACAGGGCCCGGAAAACAAGGAAGGCGTCTTTAACGTAGATCTCGTCTACCTCGTCCTCGGCCGAGCTGTCATCATCCTTCTCCTCGGGAATGCCGGACATTGACCGCGTGACTGACCGCTTAGCGCGAGTGACTGTTGTGGGCGCATTATCGTTGACAGTGGTCACTTCCTTGGGTGATTCGAAGCTCTGCAGGGTGAGCTTTTCGGCGGTAGGCTCCTTGGTGACAGGTTGGTCTGCCACAGACACCGAGGCTGCCTCCGAAGTCTGACCCACATCACTGGCCGAGGCATCGAGTGTTGAGGATGGATTCTCTACCTCGCGGGTTCGGAGTTCCTTGAGGTCCAATCGTACTCGCACACGGTCAAAGACCGTGCTGACCATTTGTGTGAGGGATCCCTGGGCGATTTGCTGGTTTTGGCTGGATTTCGAGTAGATGAAAATGTTGTAGATCTGACGGACGGCTTTCAGGAGACCAGCTCCATGGACCACGATCTTGTCATTCAAGACCGCCGCCAGTAGCGATTTGATGATTTGCTGCTGGATCTCAATCGCTGTAGCTTCATTTTCGAAACAATCGCAAATAGCATCGATAGCGCGTTCAATCAACGGAGGATGGCTGGGGGTGGCTTCGTTGTCTGTCTCGGCGGAGGGGAATGCGAAATAGGAGTATGTGATCAGCTTTCCGATACAGTCCAATGCGGTGACCTGCAGGGGAATGCTGAGGGTTTTGCTTGCCAAGTGCAGAGGGCGGAAAATGAGCTCCGGGTCAATTGGTTGCCCATCGGTCTGCTTGATGTTGGTCAAGGCGACCCGTGTGGCTTCCTCCAATTTCTTGTCTCTCCGGGCATCCCGCGAGGCAGCAATATTGTCCAGGGCCGTCACAATAAACACAGTAGAACTGACTGCACCTGACCGTTGTGTCATGAAAGTAGCCGTTGTTGACCGCGAGTCCGATCGCAAGCGACTTTCCGCGACATTGTCGTCTTCCGGGGTTGGTTCCTGAATTTCAGGCGGACTGTCTGTTTTGGGTTCTTGTTCGGTTTGTTCAGAATCATCCTTGGGTGGCACCTCTGGCTTTTCCTCATCGTCCTGCTCTTCTGGTATTTCCTCGTTCTCTTCGATGGGGGTTTCCAACGGATTGGTCTGCTCGGGCGGTGTTGGCTCAGAATCTAGAGCTGTAGGAGATACATCTGTAGTCTCCACGGGTTTCTCGGGCATCTCAGATTGGGTCGGCTCGGGGCCGGATGCGACATCCGCCATGGTCAGGTAGACTCCGGGCGGAGCAATTTAATTAGATCAAAAACATCGAACGAACAAATGTAGTGGAGCTGTACTTTGCACAATCGCAATGACATGTTACGGGGATGCGTGTCTTCTCCGAATCGGGACTGGTGCATGCTGACATATTATGCTAACATAATCCGCTGACTCATGTCTTACCTAACCTCTCTCGGAAAAGGCCGCTCACCGGTGAGAAACCTAAGGTACCTTAGCTCAACAGAAAAGTTCGTGATTTAGAGACATCTCCTTCCACCCCAACCCCATCCAATCTTGGCTCTCCACGTCCACCTTGTGCCGGGTATTTCCAATTCCTTCATCTCAGTGTTGAGGGCCTTTATTTCTTTCATTTTCCAACCGCGATAGTCTCAGGCACCATGGTTGCGTCAGCTGTCAGGATGCGCACCCCGAGTGCCATGTTCATGTCCAGAGGTGCCGCTGCTATGCGCCGGCCCCAGGTTTCCTACAAGTTCCAGGAGGTTATCCAGTATGTTTTGATGTGAATTGCTGGTCTGATCTGATACTAATGGGCTTCTCGCGCGCAGGAACCAATTGCCCACCCTCTCCGCTCTTTCCCGCTACTATGCCTCCAAGTGTATGGACCATCTCCTCTGTCGTGCAATACCAATTCTAACATGACAATCTCACAGCCTTCCCTCCCCACACACTCATCAGCATGCCCGCCCTTTCGCCGACAATGACCGCGGGAAACATCGGCACCTGGCAGAAGAAGGCCGGAGACGCCCTCCAGCCCGGTGATGTTTTGGTGGAGATTGAGACCGATAAGGCTCAGATGGACTTCGAGTTCCAGGACGAGGGTATCCTCGCCAAGGTTCTGAAGGAATCTGGTGAGAAGGATGTCGCTGTTGGCGCGGTAAGAAATTTCCCGAATTTACCCGCGGGCATCAAACTGACTTGCTTCCCCTTTTAGCCCATCGCTGTCCTTGTTGAGGAGGGTGCCGATGTCTCCGCCTTCGAGTCCTTCACACTGGCTGATGCTGGTGGTGACAAGCCTGCCCCCGCTGAGAAGAAGGAGGAGCCAAAGAGCGCTGAGCCCTCGACCCCGGCCCCCGCCCCGGAGCAGCCCGCTGCGCAGGAACCCGAGACTTCGGGTGAGAAGCTCCAGCCCGCTCTTGAGCGTGAGGCCTCTATCAGCCCCGCTGCCAAGGCCCTCGCCCTCGAGAAGGGTGTGCCTATCAAGGGCCTCAAGGGTACTGGCCGTGGTGGTGTGATCACCAAGGAGGACATTGAGAAGTACAAGCCCGCCGCCTCCGCCGCCGCCGGTCCCGCCTACGAGGACATCCCAATCTCCTCCATGCGCAAGACCATTGCCAACCGTCTGAAGCAGTCCATGGCCGAGAACCCCCACTACTTCGTCTCCACCACCCTGTCGGTCACTAAGCTCATGAAGCTCCGCCAGGCTCTGAACGCCTCCTCCGAGGGCAAGTACAAGCTCTCCGTCAACGACTTCCTCGTCAAGGCTTGCGCCGTTGCCCTCCAGAAGGTTCCCCAGGTCAACTCCAGCTGGCAGGAGGTTGACGGCCAGGCCGTCATCCGCCAGCACAAGACCGCTGACATCAGCGTCGCTGTGGCCACTCCCGTTGGTCTGATCACCCCCGTTGTCAAGAACGTCTCCGGCCTCGGTCTCTCCAGCATCTCCAACCAGATCAAGGACCTTGGCAAGCGTGCCCGTGACAACAAGCTCAAGCCCGAGGAGTACCAAGGCGGCACCTTCACCATCAGCAACATGGGCATGAACCCCGCCGTTGAGCGCTTTACTGCTGTCATCAACCCCCCGCAGGCCGGTATCCTGGCTGTTGGCACCACCCGCAAGGTTGCTGTCCCTGTCGAGACCGAGGAGGGCACCGTCACCGAGTGGGATGACCAGATCATCGTCACTGGTAGCTTCGACCACAAGGTGGTTGACGGCGCCGTCGGCGGTGAATGGATCAAGGAGCTGAAGAAGGTCGTCGAGAACCCCCTGGAGCTTTTGCTGTAAAAGCAAAGTCCGATGTTCCGACTCTCATCTTGTAATCTGTATTAAAACACTTTGCCTCCCCCATTAGACCACTACATAGGTCCCTTTTGTTTTTGATCTATTTTAGCAGCTTTCAATCAATTTCTGTCTACTTCTTATATATTATCTTCGTACGGAGTATTGTGGAGTGGTGTTCCGGACAACGTAGGTGGCTGACCACGCAGGGCAACCTAAGTAAAGACGAGTGTGGTCATATAAGTAATGGTGAATTGTCACTATTTGCAACTATATACTATATCAGTATATAATTTTAAAATAGCAACCCACATAGAGCCCTGGAGAGTATACAGTGAAGTCAACACGGGAAGAATCTACGGATGGAGAACCCTGGCAGTGGGCCCAGGTCATGACGTGATGTCACACCCCCCAAGGTATAAAACCTTCACTTTCCCCTCCCTTGTTCTCTTCATCCACGCTCTTGGTAAGTGATTTACTTCTTTGCTAGATGTGTTTCAGGTGTTGACTGAATTACAGAACCATCATCTCATACTGTAATCACTATGTCATACGCCGACGCTGCTGCAAAGGGCCCTAAGCAGGCCCCCGAGGAGGTAAGTGCGCAAATCTCTGAACCTATGTCGCAATACTAACATCAAATCACAGGCGTAAGTAACTATCTATCAAAGGTCCAAAGGTCCCTGCCAGCTAACACAGACCTCAGTCGTGCTCCTTACGTTGGAGGAGTCTACAAGGACGAATCCGAGAGCACAGCTTCGCTGATCGATGTCGACGGACCCCACGTGCAATCTGTAGAGCCGGAGTTCCTCAAGCAGGATGTCCAGACTACCACTCAGGCTGAGCGGATAGAGCGCGAAGCCGAAGAGAAGGAGAAGCAGCGCGCAAGCGAGGATGCCGAGAAGAAGGCCAAGGCCCGCAAGGCTAAGGCCAGCGGCATCCGTGAAAACACCAGCAACCCCGTCTTTCTTGCCAACGCTGCTATCGCGACTCTCGTTGGTGCCGGTCTCGGCTTCGGTGCTTATCGGCAACACACGCAGGGCAGGCTGTCCTGGGAGCTCGTTGGATTGTCTGCTGGTGCTGTTGGCGTCTTTGGCGCGGTGGACTACTTCGTCAGCAAGTAAGTGCATTGACAGCTTCACAGTTGGAGGTGATCTGGTTCGTATTGCTAACATATATATAGGTGGTTCTTGCAGAACAAGTTCCCCCCGAAATAGATGTGCGGCGTTCCATCTCTTTTCTGGTGTTGCCTGATTGCTTTCTGTTTTGATATACCATCCCTGCTCTATTGCGGTTTTGCATTTTGTTTATTTGGCGATAATGGAGTCGGACCGGTTTGACTGTATCAGTATCCTTAACGACAATACCATTTTTGCGACACTCCAGAATTGTAGACTCCGATGATAGACGCATTTAGATTGCATATCATTGTAGAAAACAATTGCCATAGTAAAAACATTAGAAATGCTGCAGATATGCAAGATATAAAACGATGACATGCGTCGTTCCTGGAAGCGGTGAACGACGTCAGAATGGCCCAAACAAGCCCATCTGGCCTCGCGCTGAGTTGGTTTAGGCTCCCTCGGTGTTTCCCACACTAAACTAGCTCGAGGTTTTGCTGTCTTCCTATCCTCTAGGAATAATTGTTTTTCCTCTACCGCTCCTACTCTCGTGTACAAGGAACCCAACAACCTGATCTATACGTGGCATTCGTCGCATTGACACTATGGTACGCTACAGTCCGTGATTGATGATGCACGTTACTGACACGGATAGAACTCGCTGTTTAACTCTGCCCTCAAGCAATCTTCCTCGATCCGCCGGGACCTGGACACTTTCTCACAGTCTCCTGCCACCTCCTCACCCGCATTACAAGGTGCGCTCCGTCACCAACTTTTCGCGAATCAATACACTGATTACAACAATAGGCCAGCTTGCTGCCTCCTTGGCATCTCTGTCCCGCACCGTCGACGACTACTCAGCCCTTTCCAAGAAGGAACTGATTCCTGAAAAACAACAAAAGGCCTTCGACCGAGTCAAGAACTTCCGCGATGAACTCACAGACTACCGAACACAATTTGACCGACTCCGCAAAGAGCGCGAGGATGCAGTAAGCCAGCCCACTTCATATCCCGCCCCGCAAGGCTAATAGCCCTAGCAATCCGTAACCAACCGCAACGAACTGCTCGGCCGTCGACCACACCACGCCGCAACACCTGAGAACCCCTACGCGCAGTCCTCCCTCCCACAAACCACCTCAGCATTTGCACCTGCATCCTCCGGCCTCAGCTTCGGCGCCGGCCCATCAGAATATAACCGCGAAACAAACGCCCTCCGCGAACAGTCCTTCTTCTCCAACACAAACACGCAGTTAGACGACTTCCTCGACCGAGGCCGTGCCGTCCTAGCCGACCTAGGCCAGCAGCGGGAGGTGTTGAAGGGCACCCAGCGCCGGCTATACAGTGTTGCGAACACGCTAGGCGTGAGCGGCGATACAATTCGAATGGTGGAGCGACGTGCGCGGCAGGATAAGTGGATTTTTTGGGGTGGAGTGGTTGTTTTCTTTTTGTTCTGCTGGCTCGTGCTGCACTTTTTGCGGTAATCCGTCAATGGAGCTATGTCACTTATATGGGGGTTCGAGTGCTGCTAGGTCCTTTAGGTTTGGGTCTTGTATCTTGTATTCAGGTTCATCAGCGCCGGCGTTTGGTTATTGCAATTATTGGCATTGATGTCAAATCCGTATTTTTTTGCTCGTATATCTTGTATATGCATCATCTATACGTACCGGACTTTAGGCTCAGTAGAACTTATAGGCTTAGACTTAGGGATAGACTGAGGGACTGTGTTCACCTTATAAGTCAGCTTCATATATGCCAACGGGAATAGGTGCTTGCAAGGATATAGATGGCATTCAATGCACCTGGTGCAACATCTAAGAACATTGGTCCCTGTCCCTATAGACGTACCTCGGTAGGTGTCTCCATGTTTCCGTAGACTATAAAAACCTAAGCCCACGGAAACGGGAAATATATTGTCACTATCGACAGTTACAGGCCAATCCCTCCTTAGGATATCTGTCATATGAGCTTTGAGTGACCATTGCAGGTCCCAATTGAGATATTTAGGCACATGTAGCTACACGTATGCAAGTACCTAAGTACCTAAGTACCTATGTACCTACGAAGTAACTCATACCTATGTACATGCAATTTCGTGCTCGCGAGACAAGCCCATCGGTTTGACACAAGCTTATAGGGTAGATGTCAACTGCAGATAATTGAGCAGCTTAGAGTAAATTAAATGCATACAATAGCCTGCAGTACCTATGGAGACGAGACGTACTTGTCAGCCGAACTCGGGAGCTCGGAAACTGTTGTGGAGCCCCAATCTCTTTCACCGGATTCTCCCCTTCCCCTTCCTCTTCTCTTCCACATCCTCTCATCATCGCAGTCATGTTCGCCGCTCGTCGTACCTTCAACCTTTTCCAGAAGCGTGCCTTCTCGGCCTCCGCTAGCAATGTACGCATCCCAATTAACACTTTTGACTGCTCTAACCTCTCGCGCAGGCCTCCAAGGTTGCCGTTCTCGGTGCCGCCGGTGGTATTGGCCAGCCTCTGTCGCTGCTCTTGAAGCTCAACCCCCGTGTTTCTGAGCTCGCCCTCTACGATATCCGCGGTGGACCCGGTATGATGATATCTAACTCGATCTCATTGCAATGTCTGACTCTTGACAGGTGTTGCCGCTGATCTCAGCCACATCAACACCAACAGCACTGTCGCTGGTTACAACCCCGATGCCAGCGGTCTCCGTGACTGCCTCGAGAACTCCGAGATCATTCTGATCCCCGCTGGTGTTCCCCGTAAGCCCGGCATGACCCGTGATGACCTCTTCAACACCAACGCCTCCATCGTCCGCGACCTCGCCAAGGCCGCTGCTGAGGCCGCCCCCAAGGCTCACGTCCTGGTCATCGCCAACCCCGTAAGTAGTTGAGAGTGCCCTTTCATCTACTCCTTCTAACATCTATCAGGTCAACTCCACCGTCCCCATCGTCTCCGAGGTCTACAAGGCCCGCGGTGTCTACGACCCCAAGCGTCTCTTCGGTGTCACCACCCTTGATGTCGTCCGTGCCTCGCGCTTCATCTCCGAGGTCCAGAAGACCAACCCCTCCGGCGAGGCCGTCCCCGTCGTTGGTGGCCACTCCGGTGTGACCATCGTCCCCCTGCTCTCGCAGTCCAACCACCCCTCCATCGCCGGCCAGGCCCGCGATGCTCTCGTCAACCGCATCCAGTTCGGTGGTGACGAGGTCGTCAAGGCCAAGGACGGTGCCGGTTCCGCCACCCTCTCCATGGCCATGGCTGGTGCCCGCTTCGCCGAGTCCCTCCTCCGCGCCGCCCAGGGCGAGAAGGGTGTTATCGAGCCCACCTTCATCGACTCCCCCTGTACAAGGACCAGGGCATCGACTTCTTCGCCTCCAAGGTCGAGCTCGGCCCCAACGGTGTTGAGCAGATCCACCCCGTCGGCGAGGTCAACGAGTACGAGCAGAAGCTCCTCGATGCCTGCCTGGCTGACCTGAAGAAGAACATCCAGAAGGGTGTCGACTTCGTCAAGGCCAACCCTTAAAATGTTACAATGTACAACAAGCATCTTCCGTGATGGATGGATATGACATGTCTTACTAGATCGATAGCACTAATACACTCGATCTACTTGATCTAAGCAATAAACTCTAGGTGTAATACCATTTTCAACCTCGGATCATCCATTGACTACCTAACACACCATATTCGCAATGCAAAAGAAAGAGATCCCGCAACTAAATACCTGAAAGAACCGAAAAAGCAAAGTATCAAGCAATAGCACCGTACCAGCAAATCATCATACCATCAAGTGTAGCTCCGCATTGCATCCAGGTATCCCGTTCCACCACGCAAATCTTGATCAAACGTCTCGGCCACCTCCAGGACACGCTTGATATGTTCCATCGATAGAGGTGAGCTCTCATTGACAGCCAAGGCCTGCGCAGTGCGGACCGAGTTTTTGATCTATGCCAGTGTTAGCATCAGACGGGACAAAAATCAATAAAGGCAGGCAACACATACCTGACGACCATTCAACGTGTGCCTGGAAAGCATATCATAATCCTCCTCGCTAAACGACGCAATGTGTACACCCTCAATGGCACGCACACGCTCCAGGAACATCTTCCAGATACTCCGTTTCGCCTTGGAAGTGAGATCACCGTAGCGCAGAGCAACATGTATACGCGACTGGAAGGCATCGTCGAAAGTCTCAACCCGGTTGGTCGTCAAGAACAGAATACCCTGGAAGTACTCCAGCAGACGGAGGAAGATGCTGACCAGGGCATTGCGGTGGATATCATGGATAGTGCGCTTCTCAAGGAAGACATCGGCCTCATCAAGGAGAAGCACAGCACCCCAGGAATGAGCAATGTCCAGAATCTTGTTCAACTCAGCTTCCAGAGTCCGCGAGTCTGTGCCCAGCTCGCCAGCGCTGACCATATACAGCGGCCGACGCAGTAGCTCGGCAATGCCCTCTGCTGTAAGTGTCTTACCTGTTCCCGGTGGACCATGCAGCACAGCAACCAGACCCTTGCCCTTACCCTGGATGACATCGTCAATATTCTCCGCAGCATGGAAAGTATGCGACTCGACCAAAGCTTTCACAATAGACTTCTGGTTCGTCGGCAGAACAAGCGAGCCAAAGGCCTCCTTATCCCACTCGATCTCACTGATGCCAGAGATGGTAAACTCCAGCCAGAGCTTCTCGCTGAACGCAAAGCCCAAAACAACAGGGCTTGCAACGAGCAACTCCTCCTCAGTGAACTCGCGCGGTTTGGGATCAGCAGCATCACCCTCAAGCCGATCCATCTTCTCTCTCTGAATCTCATTTCCATTCTCATCAACCTCCACCTCAACTACACGCGGACACCCCTCTTCATCCTCAACGACTTTATACACCATCTTGGGCGTATCAGATGCACCACCATGCTCGGAGTCCGACTCCGACCCTCCACAGCAACACCCTTCACTATCATCATCTTCCCCACCACTAAATCCAGCCTCAGACGGGTCTATTAGATCCGGGTCCTTGGGACGGACCGTGCTGATGGGGTAATTGGGGTTAATACGACGGTGAATAGCAGGATCGATCATGACCCGACCATTGATATTAACCTTGATCACGAACGAGCGCTTCTTCTTGTAAAAGGCCATACCCTTGTGGAAGCGGTAGTTCATTCCGCGCAGTGCGACAAAGCGCTTCCCGCGCTCGATCAGGCGGGCACGCAGGGCCTCGGCGTCGCGATGGTATTGCAACGGGTAGCAGGCCAGACTGGTGATCTTGCGAGCGCCCTTGAAAGACTCGACTTCAGCAGACATGGACCCGAAGCCGTAGTCCTTGCCATCGTATTCCAGGTAGCGGCCTTCGACGCTGTACCATTGGCCCTTCATGAAGGAGGATTCCTTGATAGCGTACTCGATCTTGAAGGCGCGTGGTTCGTCCGGGTTACTGTAGGTCGGGGTGTAGGCGATAGTGTTTGGCTTGAAGAGCGCCCACAGTAGATCGAAGGTGATGGTGTTTGCCTCGAGGAGGGGGTAGAGGGTTTTCTTAATATCGGCGTAGTCGGTATCGAGGTATTTGATGAGGACCTTTAGATGGGCAGCTTTGAGCGCGGCGGCCTTGCGGGCTTTCTTCTTCTTTTCGCTGCGCGACTGCTTCTTCAATTCTTTCATGTATTGGCGTGTTTCTTCCAGGTATAGGAATAGCATGTTGGGATCGACCACGGCGGGCTCTTGGACCAAGCTGACACCCTTGACGCCGTCCATGACTTTGGCCAGGGCATCGCGGAGGTGTTTGCTCTTGATGTCGACCACTGTTTCCAAGTATTTATTCTCCCAGTTGAACTTGCGACGCACGGTGAAGATGTATTGGTCCCATTCGTCGGCATCGGGGTCGTCCACCGTTTCGGTCAGCTTATACTTGTGGATGGTGGTGTCCCATACTAGCGAGATTAGCAAGATATAACAGATTGTATGCAACGAAAACAGTACTCACGTTGATCCACACGTTTGAAAGCAACCTTGGAAGCAGGCTTCTTCTTCTTGGAGCGCTTCTCTCTCTTCTCACTCAGTGGATCACTGGCTGTGAGATCGTCGGAGGTCTGATCGCGGAGCTTCTTAGCGCGCTTCTTTAGCTTCAGCCTGGTGACCAATTTGCGTAGAGCCTTCTCATCCAACGAATCATCAGACTCAGCTGAGCTGTCAGAATCCGACTCAGAGGAGGAATCCGAAGTGGAATCCGAATCCGAGGCTGCAGCTTTACGCGACCGTTGCTTTCTCCTCTTACGGCGCTTCTTATCCTTCAGAACACGCTTGGCTCGTGCCTTTGCCCGTATACGGTGCCGTTTGCGCTTGTCCGTGTTAGACTCACTCGTAGACTCAGAGTCAGCATCGTCGGTATCGGCGTCACTGTCGGAGCTGGAAGAAGAGGAAGACGAGGAGCTGTCGCTCGAATCGGCCTTTTTGGTCCTCTTCTTGCGTTTCTTCTTCTTGTCGTGTTTCTGGCAGACGAGCTTGGGAGCTGTCTCAGCTGCGGGGGCAACGGCTGCATCTTTGGCGGCGTCTTTCACGGCGACTTCTGGGGGTTGGGCTGAGCCGTTGAGGTTTTCGGTAGAGGGATCAACCTCATCCTTGGCCTCAGCTGTGATGGAGGTTGGCTCTGCCATGAAGATTACAGCTGTGGAAGTTGGAGAAGTTGGAGAAAAAATAGAATGTGAGGTATCAGAAAGAACTAAATAGAGAGGCTGAGACTGGCCGAGACTGGACTGGACCAGAGACAGGAAGAAAGTAAATAACTGAGAGAAACAGGAACCAGAAGAGAGATTGAGACAGAGACAGAAACAGAAGCAGAGACACACAGAGAAAGAGAGAAGAGAAATAGAATGACTCTGTGGGTGAGACGACGCATTTTATGTACGCAGGCATCACGCTGCAGCCTCAACACCAATCAGTCGGCCCCACGATGTATGCGCTGTCCCTTTATTATTAGTTACTTTCTAGGCTACCTAGGCTACCTAGGTATGGTTTGGATCATGTCCTGATGCCTGGGAGTCTATCCTTTGTGTCCTTTAACCTTCTCTTTGCATATTTCAGCTTTGCGGCTCTGGAGTCCTTTCAATCTGGGCATCCTGTTAAGCGCCTAAGCTGCGATGTCGGTCCATGCGAGTTGTCTGCCTGGACTGAGCTGTACATAAGTTATTCCCACATTAGACTGCACAGATTCCTGCACGTAAATCACCTGTAAGCACCTAGGCAGCCTGTTATATCCGTGGGCATGGTTGAATAAATAGGCAGGCACGTGCCAGTGACTTGCCCTAATTTCCATCAACTACCTACTTGTGATGGACATGGCAAAATGCACTATTGGCAAATTTTGATGAACAGCGAGGATTGTAGGCTTGGAGAGAAACATATGGCTTGTTGATCTTGCGGTGAACGAAGTGTCCAGGCCGAGCGGGAAGAGTGATAGGGGCAACTACCATACGCATTCGCCATTCCTACTATTGTTATCACAATACAGAGAAGGACAACATGAATACGCGTACCTGAAGTGTTGAGCATGGAATAGAAAGGACGGTGGTCATGTTGCATAGATTTAAGGCAGCTTGGTGAGTCTGGGGACGTCTCCATTGGGAAGGTTGACACCAAGTTAGGGCAATTTCCTTCGAACCCCGAAAGCTCGGCGACGACATCGTCGCTGGCGATGTCCCACGATAGAAAGCGTCAAAAATATTAGTATAAATAGTTTAGCCTACCTAAAGCGATCTTAACCTCGTCGCGATCCCTCGAATTTCCAATTCCATTACGGTCTGTCACAGTCTATCTGGTCAATATGTCCTTCAATATGAATGATACTTTGCCCGTGGGTTCGCCTACTATCCCTGCTGCCTCGCCTACTCTCTCTGAAAGTTCCCATGGAAGCAGCCTTATGTCCATTTCTTCGGGCTCATCTTTTGTCCCTGCTCCTCTTGCTCCAGTCTCCTCTCCTGTTGCTCCAGTCCCTTCTCCAATTACTCCAGTTCCTTCCCCTGTTCCCTCTCAATTCTTCACTGGAAGTGGTCCTATGTCCATTTCCTCTGGTTCATCTTTTGTCCCAGCCCCTGCTGTTCCATCTGATATCTCTGCTCCCAATCTTCCTTTATCTGACGACTACTATTTCATCTGTCATCTTCTGGCGACTCATCCTCGCACTCTTGCTCACGCTGAATCCGCTGCTCGAGTTGCCAGTCAATCTGCTACTGTTCACCCCCCTCGCACTGTCACTCCCCCTTTGCAGAAGAACCCCAATCCTGTCACTCCAGACAACGGACCATTTAACTGGAACAACGTCATGTCTGAAGACTCTCCGGACATGGAGCCCAGCCAGCCCCTTCTCTGGCAGGATACTCCCCCAAGAAACCCCCCAATGTCCGCCACTGATCCAATCTTCCATGGAAGGATTTTTGAGACTGCGGAAGATCGCATCCAAGCATCTGAAGACCTGCTGCTAGCTGAAATGGCCAAGAACCACAATGATCCACCCCATCATTTCACCAACGACGATGAGATGAGCTACTTCAGCATTGCCGATCTCGATGCTCAGTTCCACGGGATGGAAACCGGCGAGAAGCTTGCCCCGAAGCACAAGCCCAACACCCCCATCGAGCGTTCCGCAAAGCGTGTCAAGAACAATAACACCTTGAGCGCCATGACTGAGTCCGCCTCTACTGCTGCCTTTTCTTCCAACACCAAGCAAACCGATGTCATCCCGGCTATGCCCGAGCCTGCTACCACGGAGGTAAGTACCCATCCCATCCACCACAGCATCATATCTGACCACGCACAGTCTACCCCCAAGCCAAGCCGCCGCCGCCGCAAGACTCGTAAGAGCTTCACCCCAGAGGTGACCCGCACCCTACGCAGCAGCACAACCAAGAAGACCGAGGAGTCCGTCGCCAAGCAGACGCCCAAGTCAGAGACTGCCACCACCGCTGACGCCGAGGTTCCTTCCCCCTCCCCCAACAAGAGCCTCCCAGAGTCCTGGGCCACAGCCCTGGACGAGGACAAACTGGTCTCGATGATGAAAGACCAGGGGTACACCTGGGTGGACATCACGGAGATGTGGGCGGCGAACTCGACGCTGGCCTACTCGCAGGCCTCGCTGAAGAAGCGCTGGGGCAATATGAAGAAGAAGCTGGGTCGGTGGACCGGATTTGACGTACGTATTAGCATTCCGTCATTTCACTTTTCGCTTGTTTGTTCGTCAGATTGTGCTTATTTGCACCGCGTTTCATTTTACGTTGTTGAGCTGATTGCTAACGCTTTTGTTGGGTAGGAGGCTCTGGTGGCTGTGGTGGAGATCGTTCGGAGTGATCTGAACGAGATCCTCACTGATGAATCGTGGGAGCAGATTGCCGCGACCATTTCGGTCGAATTGAACTTGGCCGTTACTGGGGAGTTCTGCAAGGGCCGATTTGTGGCCATCGAGGACGAGAAGCTGACCTGTCAGGGTTAGAGGCAGTTTGCGATACGAGAATTGAGGATACGGAAGGTGGATGTTTGGAGTACGATGGCGAAGTCAAGCCAGGTGGCAGTACCTGGTGTTTCGAGCGGTTCTTTGTCTCTGCGTTTGAGCGTTGAGCGTTGAGCGTTGTATAATTTGTGATACCCCGGGGCTACTTGATCAAGCCCCAAGCGGGTGGATGAGATTTGTAAGAAGTAATGGTTGAACGAGTAATCAATCTGTGCAAGTAAGACATACTTCCAGTAAACCTGTTCATTCGCTAGATACGTTCACAGAAAATGCTCAAGGACACCAAATCCTGAAAGAGATATAACGCCCCGAATCCATGTGCCCACCCGCTGGTGTCATACAATCATGAAAGCTGTAATCTGAAAAGCTGAAAAAAACCAACAAAAATAATCAAAAGCTAGAGAGCGCTCAGTTCTCGTCTACCACTGCCTCGCATACTCATTCCCATTCCTGGCATGCCCGCACTCCATTCCGAAGAGTCGGAGTCACCTCGACCACGCGATCCGCTGGTAGTACTTGTCCCGATACTGATACCAGCAGTGGTAAGAGACTCTGCATCATCGATTACAGGTGGACCGCCGACCATGACAGGCCGGATCTTAGCCCCAACAAATCCACGACGATCACGGCCTGTGCGGCCACGGCCAAGCCAGTTATGCTTTAGAGCTTTACTGAGCACCTCGATCTTCTCTTGGGAGGCATCGTCAGTTTGCACGCTAGCGAGCACGCTAACACATTGTAGCATACGACCCACAGTCTCTGTGATGACGTGCGAGCTATCAGCGGAGTTGACGCGGTGAATTATAGTGGGCCGCTTAGTAGGTGCCTGCGGCGATGCAACAGACTGGAAGACGAGAGGATCTGGGTTTGAGGAAGTATTCGATGTAGCGCGGCTGCGGGAGTCGCCGCTTGTAGGCCGTGGGTGGTTGGCTAGGCCGGTCATCCCGTCCGAGGAGTAGCTGTCTGCGACAGTGCTGAGGAGAGTAGAGGATTGCGAGTTGAAGCTGCCGAAGCCGGCGTCAAGGGAGGCTGCGGTACCAGGACGACCTCCTGTGCCGGTACTTTTGGCTGTCACGCTGAGAGTTGGAAAGCCAGAGTTGATTGAGTCTAGACTGAGGCGCGAGAATGTTGCCTTGAGGGTCTCATAGCGGTTCAGGATGATACAGTCACGGAAGGCGATGAGGACTAGGTTCCGCACTTCGAGCGTACCACCGACAGGAAGTGGACCCCAGAATTCAAGGGCTTCTCGGCTGGTCATCAAAGATCCGCAGCCCTTGAATTCGAGATCCAAGGGAAGGAAAACAGCCTGGATGAAGGGCAGGATTGTGCCAAATACCAACATCCAAATCTGTACCAGATGAGGAACCAGCTTTTCATCGGGGACACCCAGAAGCGAACTGAGATTCAGAGTTGCGAACCCAGTTTCGAGCAACTCCTGCAAGTCAGTGATCACAGACGTGGGAGTTCTCTTATGCACACAGCACTGCAAATGAACCAGAACCAGCTTGTTCAAATCCTCAATGGCAATACGTACATCCTCACCATCGAAGATGACCAGCAACTTCGCCTTGAGGAAATCCCACGCATCTTCGGGTGTCATATTATTCAACCCGAACCCTTGCAATGTCTCTCGGAGAATAGATTCGGGGTATGTACCACCACTACCAATTGAAGAGGGACCTGGGAAACCACCAGGTGTCGTGGCCCCGCCGGTGTTATTGGCCAGCCATTCCAGTTGTTCCGACTCAGCGAGTGCTTTTTCTTCTTTCTTCTTCTCGCGCAATGCTCGTCCACCATGCAAGATATCCAGACCACTGACTGATTTGCCGAATGTGGCACCCGGGGCCGGTGATGCAGGGCTTGTGAAGGAATAGAGGGATTGTGGAGCATTTGGATCGGCTGGGCGAGAGTTGCTGGATGCCGAGGACAAGACTTGATTGAAGTGGTCGTCGACCCGGTCCTTGAGTTTAAGTTTCTGTCTCGACAGGAAATGGTGCTTGTGTTTGTCTTTTTCCTTGTCCTTTTCCTTTTCCGGAACTTGAGCTCGATCTGCGGGGACGACAGTGCTCACGGAGGCATTGGAGAGATTGTACATTGAGGAGTTGTTCGAGGGCAAGTCGGCCAAGTTGGTAGTGGACGCGCTGACCATACGCGACAAGCCACTGATCTTGCTCGGAGAAGGAAGCCCACGGTCCTTGCCCAAATCTTTATCCCTGCTGATGCCTATATGTTTCGGTTTTGAGAACAGCTTCTTCTTCTTCTGCTTTTCAGGTTGTAGGTCTGGCGGTTGCGCACCGGCACGCGGGAAGACCACATTCGCAGCTGTCGTGGCCACGTTTGCTGGCGCGGGCGGTTGAGGCGAAGGCACATTTACACGCAACGGGGCAGGCATAAGCGGAGGCGATGCGCTCCCACTCTGCCGTGACCGTGTATCCTCCACAGACATGACATTCTGAGCCCGTTTTGTCTGTTGCATTGCTGCCTGGGCGGCGATGCGGGAGGCTGACACGGTAGGGACCTGGTCAGACGAAGCAGTTGGCAAGGATGGTTCGAAGAAGCCCTGCGAGTGAACGCGAGAGCGATGCCGGGGTAATTCAATCGAGGGACCACGGCCAGACGGCCGGCGGCCGGAGGGGTCTGGCATAGGGCGAGCGTGCGGCGAGGAGGTGGTTGAGCGAGGTTGAGGGGGGAAATAGCTGCCCGGAGGGATCTGAGGATTAACGGGCGTAACCGGCGCCGCTGAAACGGTTGTCACATTGGAGGAGGCGTCGCTACCGGAGGAACCAGGACGGACCAGTTCGTCTTCGTCGGAATCATCTTCTTCGTCATCAGACGGGGGCTGCGGAGGCGGAGGCCGGTAGCGGACGGGGGCCGGCACTCGCTGACGCCCAGGCGAGTCGGGGGATCGCAGCGAGGGATTCATGGTGTGTCCATTGTCGACATGAAATGACATGAAGTGTTTCATGGCAAAAGACACCTCGCCGATCCCTTCCTCTACGGTCGACAGTAACGACCACTACAACAACGCTATCTAGATCTACACTCCGCAGATCGCTCGATGCTTTCTTATATTTGACCACTGCCTTCTAACCTTGATCTTGCTAATTTCCTCCTAATGTTTCTGATCCATAAACAGCAACATATAGCAAGTCCTCTTGGTCCACACTTAGGTTTCATTTGGTATGTTGAGTATATCTCTACTCTACGTCTTGGATATCTTGCCATAGAGCAATCTCTTTGACTGGATAGAATGTATTTTGACATAGCACGATTAGAGAATAAGATATATCATCACTCTATGTTATATACACTTTGCAGTTTGTGTATACTTGCCCACACACACATCGGATTATTGAACATCCGAGGCAAGGTGCAGAAATTACCGCCTTCTACTTTCAGTCTAGTCCCCTCTCGAGTTAGCCTCGGCAGCAGAAAGACCGTTTCCTGCCTATAGAGTTGTTACCGAGTGGTTATATTGGTATCCCAGAATTTTAAGAGGTCTGGAGGAGCTGTAAACCATAGAAAATATACTAAAACCGATACTCACTTGACTTACTCATTCGAATTTTTGTATAGAGTAAGATCCACAGAAAGAGCGTCTTGGATGTCATCCAATGCAACTTACAAAGCTCCGTAAATACGGCTCAGTACTAGTATGGTAATCTGACTTGGCGGTGGGGCTCAAGCAACTCTTCTTCATCCCACCTTCAATTCACGAGTGTACATATCCCGACAATGGCCAACTCAGTTAACCTCACAGCGGTCTACTCCGCCCCTCAATCCACCGAGACCTTCCAGCACGCAATTCCCTCTGATAGTGCCGACACTCTGGCAGCAAAGCAAGCCCACCTCAATGCACTGCAAACCCTCGTCCCCAAACTACAGGACCAGATCAATGTGTTCCTGACTGAGCGCATGGAAGAGGACAAAAAGGTCCAGGGCCAGATCTCCGCACAAGAATCCAAGGAAGAGGAAAACTACGGAGAGGAGGTCGTTGAGGATGATGCATGATGTATCGTGAAATAGGCAGATGCTAGCACTGGGTATCAAAGTCGCTGAAACAGCCTCCGACAACAATCCAACCAAGAACGACCGAACTACCGAACGACCGAACTACCGAACAAACCGAAAAAAAGACAATGAAAATGAAAACGAGACCAACTCGATGCCATGCAAATGCAGACGCAAAAGCAAGAGAATCGGATTACCCAGATCGAACACTAGGTTTCCGATTCGCACACCCCAAATGAACAACCGTGTTACTGGACCGAATCATCAGCATCAACCAAATCAACAGAGGAAAGACAACTTACTCGGGAAACACATTGATCACACTCCCACCCAACCGCTTATGACAAACACCACAAATCCGCTCCTCGGTAACAGTAACATGGCGAGCACGCGAACCGTTCCCACGAACACCTTCACCAATAGCCAACCGCGCTTGGACCTCCATATCGTGCGCTTTACGCAGATTAGCCACGATGCGCGCTTCATTGAAGACAGAGTTCGCAGCGCGCATGCGGCCCTTGAAATAGAATTCCAGTTTCTGCACGGCTTGTTGGTCTGGTATGAGTTTCAGAGCGGACTCGGCTGGAAGTCTGGAGCCGTGTTTGGCTAGGAGGTCGATTGCAGGGTCGTATTGCGGTTTGTAGCCGTGCGGTGGGGAGAGATAGAGGGAGAGGAGGGTTAGGTAGATTGAGTTCTCTTCTTCTTTCTTTTCGGCGAGGTGGATTTGGTTGCAGTATCTTTTGGCGGTTAATGATTATCGTTTTTGTTGGAATGGAATGCTATGACTTACTCTTCTGCTTTCCCGTGGTCTTCCAGTTTGAAGACGTAGATCTCCAGTGCTTGTCTGTGCTGTCCCATTTTGCTAAATAGGATAGCGCGGGCTTCGTAGAAGTTGGGATCTGACAAGGATAAGTATTGGCCTATATGTGCAGTGGAGAACATACCCTCTCGATCAAGCCGATCTAACATCTTCGCTGGCGAGTATTGTTCGCTCTCTTTCAACATGGTCAAGAACTTGTCTTTCCATTCCCCTTTGTCGGATGTAAGTTGATCTAGATATAGGATGAGTAGCCGCTGATGTATGTCGGGCGTCATGTCGTTCCATTCATTAATGGCATGTTCAAGGTAGTGAATGGCAAGCGTGGTGTCTATTTTCTCGAGGAACCCAAGAACATGAGGGCGAGGGAGGGTCTCGGCGTTTTCAGTGTCAGTCAGGAAAATCTCCATTCCTAACTCGTGATTAGCGCGAATAGGCCATTCTCCAAACTCGATGACCAGATCGATCTGGTCGGGGGGTAAGTTTTGGAGATAGGCGACAGTGCGCGTCGGACCACTCAAGGGACCGTTCTCTGTCTGACCAAAGCGCTGCAACAATTCAAGTGCTTGGCGATGCAATTTCTTGCCGTAGAGGAAGTCAATCAAGTCGTTGTAGCGACCTGTTTCCTCGAGTCGTTCCATGACAACATCTGGATCGCAGTAGTTGGCGATGCGGAAAAGAGACCCGGCTAGCGATGGCGTCGCGAACATGTGTGCGCGGAACAAGGTGGTGTCGACCAGTCTGGCCTTGGCTCGGAGCTGCGTAGCGAAATCCTCGGTAGATGGGAAGTCCAGTAGCTTGAGGACCGAGTCACTGGCTTCGTCTTTGGCTTCGGATGGCGCAGCAGCCTTGAGAGAACCGTCGGGGTTGAGGAAGCGCTGGAAGCGTCGGCGGACATCTGCTAGATAGCCCTGTAGTTCGCGGACTGCTATTCGAAGACCTGGTTCGGTTAGTCAGACTCGAATATATCTAAGGGTTGAGGCTTGCTTACCTTTCTCGTCTCCACGGATGCTGCTCGACTCGCTGCCCTCGTCAGGTTTGCGCATAGATGATCTGACGGACGGGGGATGAGTGGACGTTTGCCCTGGAGCTGCATCATCCGACGAGCCTTCAGTTTGTGACCCGTTGGCCTTGCCATTTGGAGCATCAGGCTCTGGGACAGTCGACAGATCACCCGCGATCAAGCGGGGGTACAGGCGAATGACACTTTCCGGGGGCGCGGAAACTTCAGTAAAGAGGTCCAACGACTCGCGGTACTTGTTCAAGGCAAACAAGCTTTGCGCCTTTTCCAATCTCGTCGAGCGTAACCGGCCAGGTTTATCCCGGAGAAGAGCATCCTCCAGCATTCCGAGTAAGCTGATAGCTTCATCCAGATAGCCCTTTTCGACCAAAGTGTCGATTTGGGTATCATAGCTCAGAGCTTCCATGCGCCAGATGGTGCGATCACTCGCCACCAGGAACCCTTTCCCGGCATGAGCGAGACTGATGTTCGGCTGTGGAATGTGCAGAATACTAGCAGACGGCAAGGGAATAGACTGCAAGAGAGACAAGGTCTCCGGGTTGCGAACCTCGAGCACGCCCTTGGCCGAATCATGCAAAGCCAACAGAAAAGGGTACGAATATCCCAGTTCCATCGGCGCATGGCTCCAGGGAATCTGCTTCCGACCAAGCGGTTGGCCATCGACATCGATGAAATGGGTATTGATATCCTTGGCCAACAGAATCTGGCCTTCCCTAAGTCTTGTCGCAAGCGGCCGCGGCACCATCCCACCCATACCGATATAGCTCATACTCGCAGCCCCGACACCCGTGAATCGACCAGACTCCTCAACGCTGCCCGGACCAGCCAAATCCGTCACCTGGCCACTCTCAAGGTTGACCATGACAAAACTCGAGTTCAACCCAACAACCAGCCGCTCAGCCGCAACCCAAGTGAGAGTCTTAACCCCACTAACCAAACTCAACTCAGTAGTATCGCGCTCCAGTTCCATATCCCGCCACACCCACATGAGGATCTTCCTCTTAACAGAAACAGCAAGACGAGAAACAATAGCAGGGACATTGGTATCAGGATCATTAACGACATTAGAGGTAATAGCAAAAGCAGAAGCACCCTTAGTCTGCGCAAGCACCTCAACAACCTCATAAGACTGCGCATCATGCAGCGAGACATAACCACCAGCCAGAGAAACGAGTACGTTGGCCTCCTTAATCAGGGCCAGCTGCTCGATCTTATATCGGGAGAATTTCTCCAGTTCGCGTAGGAGTTCGGTCTTGCCGTCGTCGGTGACGCGGTAGATGCGGAGGTTGCCATTGTTCAGGCCGGCTAGGAGGCGGTCGCCGTAGGCTAGGACGGAGTCGATACGTGACTTGTCGCGCGGCTTCAGCTCGACCAGCGGCCGCGCCGTAAATGCTGACAACATGGGCGTGGTGCTCGCAATTCCTGCTGGGAGGGCGAGCGCTGTTGGAGCTCTCCGCATGACGTCCAGGTGATGAGTCAGGGATTAGTAAGCAAACACAGGTCAATGGCCCGGGCCAGCCGACTTCGGGATGGAGTCGGCTTCACTTGGTAGTTGGATATAGTTACAGCAGACTGTGTTGATTTGACTTGAGCTTATTGGGTTTAGGCTAGGTGATCTATTTCAAGCGTAAAGGTCTATAACAGCACTACTACTGCTATATCCAATGCATGACATCACGCTACTGTTGTACTATAAGTTATAACGCAAATTGGTATAAATCAAATGAAGCCTTGTTTTTGGTATCAGAATATCTTATGCAGTCATAAACCAACCACATCCACGTGCCAGGTGACGCCACTCCGATGCAGACCAATACAACCTAATGCTTGGTCTCTGTGCCCTTCTCTGCAGGGAAGTCCTGATGCTTAGCAGATGTCCCCTTACCACGCCAGGTGGAAACAGCAGGGATATCTGCCTTAAAGCGTTGCTCCTCGGTGCCATACGCACGTGGAGTAAGCTTGATAAGAGTGTGCAATGGCACCTCCATCCACGGGCTCTGTTCTTGGGGAACGTTCATGAAGTAGGCGTAGATACAACGGAGCACAGCTTGGTGGGTGACAATAATGACGTTCTCGCTGCGCTCCAGTTCCATGATAATGGGTTCCAGGCGAATGACAACGTCGCGGTAGGACTCGCCTCCACGGTAGCGGTAGTTGTACTTGTCTTCGTCTCGGGCAGCGAAGTCTTCTGGGTACTTCTCAGCGATCTGCTCGTAAGTCAAACCGTCGCAAACGCCAGAGTCCAATTCGTCCAAAGCTTTCCATTCCAGTTTCTCATAGCCGGTCTCTGCCTTGAGGTGGCGGGCCGTCTGAATGGTACGGCGCAGCGTTGAGGTCCAGATGACGATCTTGGTGTTGTCAGGGACTCCCGACTTGCGCAGTAGCTCGGGTAGAGCGCGGGCATAAGCCTCGCCTCGCTCGGAGATATTAGAATCTCCACCAATCCGACCTGTCAAATTGAACTCAGACTCGCCGTGCTATGTTTTGTCAGCCGCTATTCTTGAATGAATATCAGATCTCTTACCCTTGATAGCCAAATTGAACGAGGCTTGATGTGAAGGTTCTGAATGTAATAGACCAGTCGACTGGATAAGTAATCCTTGATCTGGTTGATGATGACCGTTGATCCAACGTTGATGAGCTTGACATAAGTATAATGCTTCTCGTTATCGTCAATCGTCTCATAAGCCTTTTCATAGTTGCGAATGCGATTGCGGAAATCCAGAGCAGCGACTTCAGGATCTTGACCCTTATAATCCGGAGATGTGGTCTTAACTTCCTTGATGTTGGTCATGATCAAGTCTTCATCATCGCAGATAGACTCCACAAAGAGAGCCTCGATATCAGCCTCGTGACACTTCTCATAGATCCAGTTGCGACGCTCCTTGGTCGAGTTGGTGGCATCCAGAATGGCAACCACACCCTTGCCGGTGTTGAACCACTGGATCATGTCCGACATGGCCGCCTCGGCTGCAGCGCGACGCATGCGCTCACCTTCCTCGTTGTGAGGATCAAAGAAGGTAGCCGCTGGCTGGGGAGTGTTGAATCGGCGATAGCCACCAACGTTGAAAACCCGTGCGGGAATGCCAACCCAGCCGAGATAACGCATCGCTGTTCGGAGTCAATATTGTGTGCGGTATAGATGGATGCACACTTACCCTTGCCGGCTATAAGGCTCTTGCCTCGGGCCGGAAGGCCCACCATGACAACACATATTTTTGAGTCGTCAGACTGTATATGAGGGTCAGCGGCAAACATCGTGATGAGGAGAAAAGTCAGGAATGTGCAAAAGGCGGAGAAAGCAACCGCAACTTGGGAAGGTATTAAGCCCGGTCTTGCAGAGTACAACAAAGAGTACTTTCTCCCATTGCTGCTTTATCGCATTACAACAGTTGATACGAGGCAAAAAATCCCATGGACAGCCATTACAGTCTCAAATACGCAATAACCTTTTCTGCGGTTCGCCAAGTGGCGAACTGAGGCACCAATTGACACTGGACCTCGGTAGAGTACCCGCGACATATCAAGAAGTTGGATAAAGAAGGAATTCGACTCACACTGGCAATGAACACCTTATGCTGCTGCTGGCTTCTAATCACACTCTTGGACGACATGGTTGTAGGATTGTAGAAGACTGGAGGTGATTTCGGGAAGATTAGGAAAAGTTCCCGAGGTCGGAACAAGAGACAAGCCTCAACCGAGCATGCAGGGTCTGTATAGAGAAGAATATCGGAATATCACCTGCAGATAATCGTTAAGAGCAGGGAAGAGGAAAGGAGAGAATGTCGGAGGTGATGCGGTGAGTCTTTTCCCCACTAACGTCATCCCGTGAACAATCCACTTTTCCATCTATGCGAATCTTGTTCTTTTTCTTGTCTCTTGTCTCTTGTATTTGCTCTCTATTTATATCTATGCTCTTTTGTATGCTGTTCTATGCTTTTATAGCTCAATGCGACACATTCATCATCATTATTTGTGACCTTTTATTCAGTTGTTTTAGGTCCGCGGGCAAATTGCACTCGCAGAGGACCGCCCCACGGTCCTGGTCGGCCGTTCAGTTCGTCCATAGCCCTCTGAGCTTCCTCAGGGCTGCCAACGTCGACAAACAGATAGTAATGCTCGCCGGGCTCGAAACGCTTTGCGGGGTGAGGGGTGAAGACCTTGCTGACATTCTCACTGCACAGGATCAGTATAGATCACACGACTGAAGCCACCAAACTTACACAGAGAACCCGTTGAAAAACGCCTTAATGTTACTCTGCACAGCCTCATGGTCTGTCAACCGAGGCAGGCCTCCAACGTAGACTCGACGGCTAGAGTCACTGTTAGCCTTGGCGAAACTGGAGTTATCCTGCTGGCGCCAGCGATCAGTTCTAAAGGGCGAAGGAGGATTGGCGATCCGCTCTGCCGACTTGGCAACACCAGGCTTGATCTTGACAGGACGGCCCAACATATCCCGGCCATCCAATTCGGTCATGGCGCGCTCGGCATGTTCCTTGTTTTGCAAGTCGACGAAGCAGTAGGAGGGGTTTCGGCCGGTGAAAGGGTCAATGGCAATATCGATGCGCTCGCTATGGGAAGGGAATTAAGTTGGGTCCTTGGCCATGGTTCAAGTGCACGCATACATAGGGAACTCGGCCGCAATGAACAGCGCCTCCACATCCTCCGTCTTGGCCGTGTAAGGCATGTTGCCTACATATAGGCGTCGGCCATCTGAGATCGCTTGCGGGACATGGGATCCGGGTCGGCTGAATGCTGCGCGAGAGGTGTTGGTGGTGCTGGGGCTGGCATTGCTGGGACGCGAGGGTGACGCTGATGGGCTTTCGACCTTTGTGCGCCAGTTGGCAGAGTTGAAGGCTCGGCCGTTCGTGCGGACATTCTCATAGGGCGACTTGGTAGGAGCTGTAGATCTTGATTAGTGACTTTTTTGGTGGCCAGGTATAGATGTCGCACTCTGCTCCTGGGTTCTGGGGCTTTCCACATCCATGACTATGTTGATATCTGCAGAATAATACTTCACAGAAACAAAACTGCAAACCTGCGAAACCGAAATTGCACCTCGCGTCTGTCACTATTTTTTTGATTGCCAGTGCAAACAGTGCAAATTCCCACTCGGCAGTATTTAGTTCGCGAGCTCCCGCTTTTTTTCTTTTTCCTTCATCTTCTGCATTCACTTCGATTCGATTTTCACCCTTGTGGCTTGTCTCTAGAATTTGATCAATGTTCAATGGGTTCATAGCCTGAGCATTGGCTGTGGACTGTCGCCAATTCTTGCCCAGGGAAAACAGACAAAGCATGATGAGGCTACGTCTAGCTTGCCATATAAGCAGCAATTTAAATACTATGAGCCTGGCTCGACCCAGCTGTCCCGATACAATCATCGCAATACCAAGCGTTGTTTTGGCTGTTGAGAGATGACTATTAACAACGTGAGTTTGAACTGTTTCTTCCCTCCCTTCTATGATGAAGCAACCTTTTCACACAGACCTGTTCTGAACTATAATGTGGACTAAAAATTGTAGCAACTGCTATCTGATGAAGCTTCTTGACTTTGTTTCTCTTGCCAAGTCTATGCGATCATTGCTAACATGATTAAAGATTTCCACAGGACCACTCCTTAGTATCTGCACAGACCTATCTACAGTAGATAGCAATCCGAGAATTGATTCTTATAAATGAACAGTCAAACCCATTGAAAACCATCATACTGCATATGTACTCCGTAAATGTGTCTACTCTTTACATCCCAGGCCACTGTGCCAAGCATCTATACTTGGTCAACTCTGCTAAATCTGTCAAAAAAACCACCTAAGCCCTATTCTTCTCCGTTATATTCGAACAGCGTTGTCCTGCATGTATCCGACCAGCATAAGCCTGTGGCATCTTTCGACTCGGGCCTTAGGGATCACAAAATGGTGCATTTTCCACTAGGACATGGGAGTTACTATAGACTAATTTCAAGTTTACAAAACTGAACCCAGCCTAATTAAAGCATGGATTGCAGGGTAAATCTACTGGCACCTGCATCCCATTCATCGGTATTTCCGAGGCGAACAGGTCGGCGCGTGGCGTACAGTATAGTAGACGCAGCCTAGTAGCAAACAAACAGCGATCGGCGGTGATTCGGATTCCCACGTTGCATGGCAGTACGATAGCCAAGGAAAATCTCTGAGCCGGTGGACATGCGAAAGGAGGGTTCTGGAACAGCTGGAAGCATGATACTCCATTTATCTAGGAGCCAATCGGCACCGTGCTGTAACAGTGATTCCAGTCGTCTGCTACCTATATGCACCGCTCACAGTGCAAGGGATCCCCCAATGCTTAGCCCAATACTTAGCCCAATACATGAACAGGATTCTGGGCCATGATGACACAAACAATTGTAATCGCGCCTCGAGTTGATCGCGAAATTTGCGGTGTAAACGGGCGGACCTGTGACTTGCCTGTTCCGGTTGGTTGTCCTCTTTTAGTTTACCCCAATAAGCCGTCACTGCCTCTCTATCTTGCAGTCATCAGCCCCTGCAATTTGGCTCGCCCAATCAGACTCGCCGACTGCCCCGTCCATAGATGAAGGTAGGATACACATTACAGTTGCCACGTGAGCACCACGTGACCGGCTCGTGGGGATTGCAGAATGGATCAGACGGTCTGACTGGGGCAAGCTGATTGGCCAGCGGTATTCTTTTGTTGGTTGTACATTGGCTAGCTGGACCTTCCCCTTCTTTTTCTCTTCTCCACCTTTGTGTCTTATGTTGAATGGACTTAGTTCCTCAATAACTTGCCACATAACAGAAAGAATGGGAAACGAAAATGATTGGCACCTGCTAAACTTTGAATCCTATAAAAGAAACGAGCCCTGATTTGTCTCCTAGGGCAAGTAAATTGCCATTGATCGCGGAAGAGCTAGGCCGAGACCCAGGAGGGAGCCAAAGAACATTTCTGCCGTTTAGCTGTATCCACTCTTGTTCGATGAAAATCTCCCGATTCACATTGTTTGAACTAGACGCATGATGTTCAGGCCCGGACTGAACATCAAGGGAGCCTAGATTCGTGAATAGACATGACCCATTATGATAAAATTTAAGGTCAGTGACTGTTCCATTGACACTAAGAACCTGCTGCAGCGCGCCTGTCGCCGTGTCCCAGAGGCGCACGGTTTCATCATGGGAGCCGGACGCTAGTAGCGCGCCGTCGGGCGAGAAGGCCACCGAATCCACCGAATTCGAATGGCCCTCGAGAGTGTGCTGCAGCGCGCCTGTAGCCGTGTCCCAGAGGCGCACGGTTTTGTCGTAGGAGCCGGACGCTAGCAGCGCTCCGTCGGACGAGAAGGCCACCGGTTTCACCGAATTTGAATGGCCTTCAAGAGAGTACCGCAGCCCCCCTGTCGCCGTGTCCCAGAGGCGTAGGGTTTCGTCATTAGAGCCGGACGCTAGCAGCGCGCCGTCGGGCGAGAAGGCTACCGATTTCACCGAATTTGAATGGCCTTTAAGAGAGTGCCGCAACGCTCCTGTCGCCGTGTCCCAGAGGCACACGGTTTTGTCTTGGGAGCCGGACGCTAGCAGCGAGCCGTCGGGCGAGAAGGCCACCGAATCCACCGAACTTGAATGGCCTTCGAGAGTGTGCTGCAGCGCGCCTGTAGCCGTGTCCCAGAGGCGCACGGTTTTGTCGTAGGAGCCGGACGCTAGTAGCGCGCTGTTAGGCGAGAAGGCCACCGACCAAACAAAGCCTAAATGGCCCCCGAGAGTATGCTGCAGCGCCCCTGTTGCCGTGTCCCAGAGGCGCACAGTTTCGTCAAGGGAGCCGGACGCTAGCAGCGCGCCGTTAGGCGAGAAGGCCACCGACCAAACAAAGCTAAAATGGCCCTTACGAGTGTGCTGCAGCGCGCCTATCGCCATGTCCCAGAGGCGCACGGTTTTGTCTTGGGAGCCGGACGCTAGTAGCGCGCCGTCGGGCGAGAAGGCCACCGAATCCACCGAACTTGAATGGCCCTCGACAGTGTGCTGCAGCGCGCCTGTAGCCGTGTCCCAGAGGCACACGGTTTTGTCTTGGGAGCCGGATGCTAGTTGCGCGCAGTCGGGCGAGAAGGCTACCGACTGAACCCAGCCTAAATGGCCCTCGAGAGTGTGCTGCAGCGCGCCTGTAGCCGTGTCCCAGAGGCGCACGGTTGTGTCATGGGAGCCGGACGCTAGCAGCGCGCCGTCGGGCGAGAAGGCCACCGATTTCACCGAATTTGAATGGCCTTTAAGAGAGTGCCGCAACGCTTCTGTCGCCGTGTCCCAGAGGCACACGGTTTTGTCTTGGGAGCCGGACGCTAGCAGCGCGCCGTCGGGCGAGAAGGCCACCGAATCCACCGAACTTGAATGGCCCTCGACAGTGTGCTGCAGCGCGCCTGTAGCCGTGTCCCAGAGGCACACGGTTTTGTCTTGGGAGCCGGATGCTAGTTGCGCGCAGTCGGGCGAGAAGGCTACCGACTGAACCCAGCCTAAATGGCCCTCGAGAGTGTGCTGTAGCGCGCCTGTAGCCGTGTCCCAGAGGCGCACGGTTTTGTCGTAGGAGCCGGACGCTAGCAGCTCGCCGTCGGGCGAGAAGGCCACCGACCGAACCCAGCCTGAATGGCTCTCTAGGGTCTGCAGTTCTGAACTCCAGGTTTCCTCGACCTGTGGCAACTGACATATCCAATCAGGAATTTCTGCTTCAAACTGTCTCCGGACTATCGCTTCTTTGGGTGCAAAGACAAGTCCTGAGCAGTAAAGTTGAAGGGGTGTATCATCGGCCATCTGGCGGTACTTCAGGACAAAGCGCTTTGCGTCATGTAGAAACTCAGACACTACGGAATGGTGATCGCCCTTATTCTGTTAGTGTAAAATTTATATAACTGCCTGCGGGACATACTAGTGTAATACCCTGGAGGAGATTCAGCATCCCTACCACTTCCGATACAAGACCTAGTAGGCTCATCGCTTCAACCCAGTGTAGAAAATGCTCATAGAGAAATAGCAACACAAACTCCACCTCAGCGGACGAGAGAGGGCTTTGTTTGAGGTGGTGTATCCAGTAGCGACATGAGTATTGTAGTTCTGGTGGTAAGTGCTGGAGTAAGGATTGAGGATCGACGTCGGCCCTACGGGTTGCAAGGCCTTCTAGATTGCAAATATCTTTCCGTAGATAGCTTCTCATGTTTTCAACACACAACAAAGCTATTTCCTTGTGCTTATTTGGCTCGTCCACAAGAACTTCGCTCTTATATTGGACCAAAAAATCTCGGAACGAAAGATGTAGAATCCGAATAGGCAGATCTCGATCACTAGGAACGTTTATAACAGACCGCAATGAATCCAACAGATTGCTAATCTGGTTTGCTCCTATCCCAAGAAATAGCGACAGCGCATTTATAGAAAGCGGAACAGCAAGAAGGATGATGACACCGACTATTTTCTGGAACTGGTCTAGGAGGTGTTGCCGATCAAACTCGTCACTCTCTTTATCGTCGAGTAGTCGTGTTAGGATTGGCTGGTACGTCTTATCCATTTTCGTCGCATATCGACGTGAATCCTTAAGGAGCTCTGTTAGACGTTGTGCGGGTTCCAATTTTGAATGCTCGATATATCGGCAAATAGTAGCAGCAGAAATAAACAAAGGAACGGACATTGCGACTATTTCTTGGACGGCGTCAGTGCTAGGCCAGTCTCGAGAGATATGCCTATCGTGTTGGATCTTCGCAAAACGGTCCTGTAGGAATAGAGATATGTCGTGCTCTGTCACTTCTTCGGGTATCTCATGAAGCGCTAGGTCTTGATATTTATTATCTCCAATCTCCGAAAAGCCAAGATTGATTGGGAGTTCAGGCCGGCTAGTTAAGAAGATCCGAAGGCGAACTGCTTTTGCCTCCTGTAGACGAGGCAGTAGTCGGATTATGTTCCGTATATCTGTCTCGTGTTCACACTCATCTAGAGCGTCAATCACTATCACGGCGGTTTGAGGTTGCTGGCCGAGTTGGTTAAGATCTAGCAGCGGTTGAAGAAGTAGTTTCTCAAACTGCACCCTAAGTGATTTTGATGCAATGTCAGGGTCATATTCGAGTGCCTTTTGCACACCAGACCTTAGCTCAGTGAATCTGAGCATTAGTTGCCGTGTTAATGTCGGGAAGAACTTCATTGCGTTCCCTCGGTCCCCTTCACCTCTCTTAAAGAAGAAGTTAGAACCTAGGTAGTTGTTATCCTGGAGCGACCTTGCTATAGTCCGAGATATTGTGGATTTTCCTGTCCCAGCCATCCCCTTTAACCAGAAAATACTTTTTTGGGACGGTGACATAGCCCATTCCATTATCTGTTGGAGAAGCTTAGTCCTAGTGCCTTGGAGACATTGGACTTCGTCGCGATTAGAGAATGAATCAAACCCTGCCTCTGTCACGCCTTCTAAATCCCTGAGGCCCATATTCTGATTAATGCGGTCGGTAATCTGTCCCACCTCGACTATTAGAGAACTATATAGTCTTTGGGTCAATAATACGGAGCTAAAATATCGTGCTCGATAAACGTACGTGTGATCCACATTCAAAGATAAGATGAATGAAGATTTATATCTCTCGAGGTTTTGAATAACGCCTTCCACCTCTGCGCGCTTCAGGGGCCACTTTAGGGCTCGTAATCCCACTTTCCTCATCAGCTTCTTTCCCTTCCCTGGATCAAGTCTCATTTCTAAGGCTTGGAGGTCGGAGAGACAATCGGTAATGCTCCTAACTAGTCGTGAGGAGGTAGGTAGGGCCGTTCCCTCGTTGCTTTGAAGGTATTTATCTAGGTCTTGGATTGTCCCTTGAAGGCCTGCAATCGCCTGTTGAAGGGTAGAAATTTCGTTTCGTGCATTTCTCGCCTCTTGGATGTAGCCCCCACAAAGCTTCATGAGGCTTCCCGTCAGTTGAATGACCGCGATAACGCTTGCCGCCGAGGATAAACCATCCATTTCGGAGGACACGGCGTAAAAGCCTAAATTCCAGGTAGGTAGGTATGATGGCGACTCAATTGTGAAAAAACGGGTTCGGAATTATAGGGTGGGCTTTTCTGGCGAGATAAAGAGGGGTAAGTAAGATAGGCGTCGGGCGCGAGGCTGTGATTCAGAGTCCACTATAGCCGCCAATCTGACTAATCATGCGTTTCCCTAGTCAGAAGCTCAGGATCGAGGATTCATGAAAAGTCCAGTGTAGGAGAAATGAAAGACCTGCATAGGTATACGGAAACCCGGAATTCGTGCTTCAGTGACATCCCAGACTCAACAAAAAATGAAATACTAGTAGTCTGATCCCAGTAGCGCCAACAATACTATACTCTCCACTCGAGCTGAGCGCTTGAAATGATCGTTGAATCAATTCATGCAGCTGTCGATCATCGCGGAGCCGTAGTACACACTGGCAATAGCAGAATACAATTCCTTGCTACAGTATGCCCCTCCAAGCCCTGTCAGAACCTGCCAATCACGACGATCTAGCGCGCCCATTGAAGCCATAGTGATTCTTTGACAGACCCACCAGAATGCCCCTGTACATGTACATACCCTTGAGATCCTGTGTTTCTCGATTTCTTTGTCCTCGGGAGCAAACCCCAGATCAAAACCAAAACCAAACATGGACTCTCTTTTCCTCTCTCGACAATCCAATAGATACGATCGAGAAAAGGGATAGCGACGTCTCGCCAGAGAAGTTTGTTCCCCGACGTCCCATCTGGACAGCTGCCGAACGAGCACGGCGCAGCCTCAATGCCGAACTCTCCAACCCGGTGGCCGGGCTCAGTTATCCGAACTACGAAGACAGGATCGCAACTTTGCAATCACCCATGATACGGGCGATGGGTCCGATATTCGTGGCTTTGAGCTCGACGCCGTGCTGACGCAGTCGCCCAACGTGGCCTGTTCTTGAAGCAGGCGATGATAGGGGATGTAGGATGGGCCCGAGTTGAACTCTATAAAGCTATGTATTCGAACCTATAGCGTAATAGAGTTGAAAGGCCGTTCAGCTGAACACCACGCTAATCAATTCAAAATGTATCGTGGAGGTTAAAGATATGCCAATGGGTGAGGAAATTCTGAAAATGCCATCAAGTCATTTCTGGAGCGAGAAGATAAGAACAAAGATGGCAAGGCTGGCTTCTTCGGTGATTTTACCAAGTCTAGCCAGCGTATCCTCTCTATACATGCTTAATTCATCAATACATAATCTTGCTCTTGTTGACGAGTCGATCATAGATCCTGAAGGCTTTTCGAGGAGGATGAGAGCAAGGTATCCCCTTGCCACGTTGCTGTAAAATGGCTAAGACTATGATGCCTGATAGTCTTATTGTCAAACTGCCTGACAAGTTAGATTTTGTCATAGGGTCGGAATGCATATCGTATGCATGGAGTATCAAGTTCCTATACTTAATCGGCACCGACACGTCCCTTTGATGGTAGGGTCATTCTCGAAACCGGCTTGACCAATACACATACATGATAACTATTTCTCGTTCCGTTGTCAAGGCCTTAGCGTAGACCAATCATTGAGTGTATCCTATTATGTAAAATTACATGATGGTACGCGGCCTCTGTAGAATCCATGGAAACCTGTGGTTGGATCCCTACAAATCAACCGAGGCGAAGGCCGCCTGAAGCCTATAATTACGCAAGTAGTGATTACCCGAGCTCAACAGCCTAGGGAATGTGGCAACACTCCAGCCAGGCACATGGACTAGTTACTGTATTGGTTTAAAAACTACTATAAGGGCCCAATAGAGACAAAGAAGACAATACCATTCAGCGTGTTTCAGTCTAGCAGTGCTCTAATTCACAGTTTGGCATGCTCCCCTCCATACCGAGACATGGTAATCGCCGCCATCATGTTTCCCGTAACGCAATATATCATGCACTCGATCAGCATCCGGTCCTCGTTGGTCAGGCTACCTGATTGCTTCAACCTTTCTATTTCCCAATCGATGCGTCTCTCAATTTCCATCTGATTCGCATACGCCAAAGCCTTCGCAGCCTCATCACTGGGTAATGAGAGCAGGTTGCGGATAATAACAACGCCATTTGTCGTTTCAAACTGCTTTGCCTGGCCCTGCTGCCAGTACCTCTTCTCTTTATCATACGAAGCGATATCGTTCGAGGCAAGCATCTGGTACGCTAATAGCCGGGTCAAGGTGCCCAACTTTGGTCCGTAAAATTCCTGTCGGGACCCGATGGAGAGCTTTGCAGACGTCCAACATACTCTAGCAAGAGACGTCGGGTGATAGAAAGACAATAATAGCCAACTTTGTGGGATCCTTACATCATTCCACCGTCGTTTCTACGGTGTTCCATGAAGTCGGCCAAGGTCGTGAATTCTTTGCTCGGCGTGGGATGGCTGATGTAGCTCGTCAGAAATTCTATCAGCTCACGACCGCCGGTAGCATCGTCCATCCGGTCTCGCTTAAGTACTTCCTCAATAGAGTTCCAAATGGTTTGCTGCAAGGGTGTCTTCGGCGCAAGATCCCTGTGATTTTCCGGGGGCATCAAGGATTTGAAAAACGATTCGTCCTATATCTAAATGGTTAGCGGTGCAACATTTCAAAAGTCTATTCACTTGTCAAATAAGCCCGTGCTGCATACGTGGTCCTTCTCATGGATTTCCCATGATTCTTGTTAGGGACGGTGTCAGTCATGCTGCCTGTTTCACCTAGGGGCCGTTCGGTTCATATACACACCGTCAAATATCAACGACAAAGCCTGCATTTCGTCAAGTAGGCGAAACTTGTCCTCGTCGGCAAAGAGATACATATAACTAACAAAGCGAACGCTACCAATAATTAGTTTCAAACTCTGTGGATCCACCATAATAAGCTTGGGATCCTACGAAGTAATGAAAGACCTGTTGGACACACGAGGTGCGATATACAACTCCCGACCAAGTTTTTTCCTTCTTGATCACTGCATGACCAAAGGTTTGAGACCCGGGTTCCAAAAATTCGGGCCACGTTGGAAACAGCTCCATCGTCTCACGGCCGCGGCTTTCAAACCCAAAGCCGTTGATGTGTATCGAACCATCCAAGATCTTGAAAGCAAGCAACTCGTTTTCGACCTGCTGCACTCCAATGACCCCCTGGCTGAATTTGAGCGATACGCTGCCAGCTTTGCGTTCGCACTGACATTCGGGGAAAGACACATACATAACCAGGTGCCAGCAGCACTGCGAACCCGTGAATTACTTGATTGTTTTGTTCGGGAACTCAACCTGATCAATTTGCTAGTGGACGTCGTTCCTATCTTGCAGCGACTCCCGGAAAGATTCTCCCGATGGCGAAAGAGTGGGTAATTGGTATCATCAGAGACTCGTCCGAACAGTCACCCAACATATGAACCTTGCACTGGAGAGCGGCTCGTGGAATTTGGTCCGTGAACTGGTCGGCAAGAATGAAATGAATGATTTTTCCTGGGAACAGCTGTGTTATATTGTTGACGAATTGGATGTGGGCACCCACATCACGACCGCCATTGCTCTCAGCATTTTTGTGATGGTCTGCCTTCAGCATCCAGACGCAGTCAGCCGGGCTCAGCGGGACTTGGACTCGGTCGTGGGACCAAACCGACTACCTGAATTCGACGATATTGAGAATCTGCCATATATGCATGCCTTTATTAATGAAATGCTCCGCTGGCAGCCCGTTACGCCTTTTGGGGCTCCGCATGGTCTCACTACGGACGATGAATACATGGGTTATCGAATCCCGAAAGACGCAATCATTCTTCCACACCACTGGTCCATTGGCCGCAGCCCCGAAGTTCATGGAGATCCGGAGGTCTTTCGGCCAGAGCGCTGGCTGGAGCACCCTGACACACCCCTGGCAGCATTTTCCATCAGCCGAAGAGCCTGCTCGGGACAAAGGGTTGCACGCAACACGCTGTTTATCGTGATTTCCCGCTGTCTCTGGGCCTATGACGTTGTTTGCCCAAAGCAGGGTGAATGCCACAGCCGCGCGAATTCTGGCTTTCTTGCTTGTGTATCCCCCTTTGGTGTGTCATTTAGGAGTCGAGGTCACCAATATCAGGAGACGATAGAGAGGGAATGGTCGACAACTAACAGGGATGTGGGAGCCCTTCTGGCCCACATCGGAAAGGAATGTTTCGGGCCCTAGGACTTACTGGGAGTCTTATATAGGTAGCTCTACATAACAGATTTCCTCTGCCGGATGGGGCTTTCCTGTCTCAGCTGCCGCCGCTTTAATGAGGGCGCTCAGAGTCAGGCTCACTGAGCTGCTCAGTGAGTGCTTAGTGACTCTGATTAGCTGCTCTCTGATCACTCACTGATTACTCAGACACCGATCAGAGGCATCTATTGAGCACTTAGTCCACGCTCAGTCTACCTAAAGAAGCTCTTTGCCCCACAATGCCGTTTATTTTGCGGACTACTTTTTGATCGCCATCATTTTTCACCGTACGCCTAGTTTTGAGGTGCTGGATCTTCCTCTCGTTCCCCTCTCAATTATAACGCACTAGAGCACGATGACGCAAATTAAAAGGCACTGAATCCATCACGGGCGGCGTAGGAAAAAAGTCTCCGGTTATCTCTCCAATTGATAGATTATAAATTAGAACTATATCCCTGCTCTAAGCCTCTAAAATAGCTTTTCCTATTTCCTACCTCACTTTTCTAGCTCTCCGGCTCCTCATCCACTTTAGGAATCTATCCAGCTATGGGTAGAAAAACCTTCTTTTCTAAAAGAGATGAGATAGCCAAAGAGAAGCGCTGCAAATAAGTGAAAGAGAGCGGCTATGTTTTTGGTGCTTATGTAGATAAGGATGCTATCCGAGACGAAGATAAAAGGCCACCTGAGACTAAGAATATGTACTGCAAGCTGTCAATCTCTGGATAAAGTCAGTTCCCACACAATTGCATAAAAGGAGTACCCGCCGAATGCTCGAGTTACTAACTTACTATTAGGTTCGTGGGATAGTATGGAATCGAGGGCTACGAATTGGGGCTAGGCTGTGCGATTCTAGACTATATACTTATTAAAGAATTTCTTCGCTGGTATAGCCATTTTGCGCGAGGAAGAAAAAGTAAAAGTAGCCGGGTAGTGATGACAACGGTTCTCAATTGTGTAAAAAAATTGTTTGGCGGATTTGAAGAGAGTCTGTAAATCAAGATTGTGTTGGAAGACCGAAAAGAGATATCTAGTGTAAGCCTTTATGTGGATTCTACATTCTATGTTCCGGAATAGAAGTCAAACTAACTCTAACGTAGTGGATAAAGAGAATATTGACAGAAAATGAAGGTACGATTGAGAACGTCGAGGTTCCAAACTACAGCTTTACCAAAAAGATTTTCTCCAAATGATATCCTCTATGTGATAAGTGGATTATCGCAGGTTTATACCCGGATTGCTTAAGACTATTATCACGTTAGCTCTTTAACTATATCTTTTCACCAAAGTAAGGATTAGGGCATATATACTAGCTCACGAGGATAGAAACGAAAAAGGCCTAAGATATAAGGTTAGTACACTGCGACATTAGGATTGTGTGTGTGACTAATTGCTAAATAGTATATCGATCTAGTTTTGTTCCTATCCTCTACGGTACCTTAGAAGTTAGAATAGAAAGTCAACTAAGCATGGCTCAAAGGGAATCGAAACCTAGACTATATAGTGTAAGTTAACTACAAAATAATTCTTATAAAGGCTGACTTGAATTGAGAGCTCACTCGCTAACCAAACATTAAGGTTCAGAATTGGTATCCGTAAGACCAAAAGACCTCAATTCGCGTCGGGTTACATTCTCCTACCTATTACCCTCTAGCACGGTGCGCTATTTGGTATCGAAACGGTGGAAGACTTCGCTAAGTTTGACCTATTAGGTAGAAAGTCTATAAAACTTCGCTAGTATAATATATTATTAATACTTTCTTAATCCATTAATAGTATATTTATCGACTTACTTCTTATATATATTAAGTTATACCTATATAAGAAATATATCTTATGTCATTTGATAAGATATATCTACCGAAGCTCCATGGCTCCGGAAATTACGACATTTGGTCTATAAGGGCTAAGGCAGCACTTATAAAGGAAGACCTTTACGGACCTATTGAAAATGCCTCCGAAGGCATTAAAAACAATAAGGCTATTTCACTTCTTAAGCTTTATTGTGACGACGGCCCGCTATTATATCTAAAGGATATAGGTAGCGCAAAGGACGCGTGGCAACGTCTAGAAAACCTCTATTACCCTAAAGGTTTCACAACCGAATTTCTCCTATTAAAGGAATTCTTTAATTTGAAATTGAATGATTTCGATTCAATGGAAGAATACCTTAATAGGGTAAAAACGCTAGCCGATAACCTAAGAGGTAAAGGCAATGAATTACCTAGGCAGGTAATTATAGCGTGGATCCTTAATAGGCTACCACCCGACTACGAATCATTTATTCAAAACATTACACAAGGTTTACGAATTGATTCGAAGGCTTATACGGTTGATACGCTATTCTCTAGCTTAATCGATGAAGCTAGAGGACGAGAAGGCACTATAGGCGGTCAATATACCGATATAATGCTATTACGGTCTAAAAAGGCTTATAAGAATCGACCTTATAATAGCCGATATTGCGAGAATTGCTGGCTACTATTCCCTAATTTAGCACCTAGAGGGTGGTCCCCTAAGGGCATTAGGGCTAATAGGGCTATTTACCCTCGAATCGATGGTTCGAAACAATCTCACGAAGAAAGGCTTAATAGGGCTAAAATTGATGCCCGTAAGCCAAGAATTTTAACATCGGTATACGAAGGTAGGTCAGATAAGTCCGTATTTATCACTCTTCTGCCTAAAGACGATAAGACCCTATTCGTCTCTTCTATTATACTAATATATGAGGGAGACTTCCTAGGTATATTCGCTGGCACTATCCGTTTATCGGAGGATTTTAGTATCACCCACGGCATCTCTAGTCCCGCCGAGAATTTGTGGCTTAACTATTCTTAGGTCACTAGGGCGCTAAATTAGATATAGGTATTTAAACTAGGTGGTAACGCAAACGTGTGCGTTCGCTAGGAGGCATTCCATGGTGACACTACGACGGAGCCGTGTATCTCGTGGCGAGTCTCCGTTAAAGCCACTAAGCACATCATGCCATTTGGTCCCATCGTTCGCGTAGCTACTCAACAAGAGCAATACCATTTATATCTATCAGCTAGAAATGCCAAAAGAGGCTTTCTCGAACCTGCTACTAACTAGTGGTCTGCTGTTGGGGCTCCCTTTGCTTTTTCAGGGAATCTTAGATGCGTTCCGTTCTAGACAAGGGAATACGAGCAAACAAGTCCAGCCAGTGACAAATTCATGCCTAATTACATCTTATCTTTTGTCCCGTATTTCTAATTTACCTTTACAGGAATGCAGGCTATTGAAATGAGGTTTTTCATTGCACTAGAAGTCGAAAAGAATTGTTGACAACTTGAAAATCGACAGATGTTAAAAGGAATATATACCCCGCGCTTATGCGGTGACCTAATGATCGACTCTATGCAACGGAGTACTAAACGTATGGATCGATGATATCTACACATCCTATTCCTTACCTATAGGTGTCTATGCAGTTATTAGTTGTCCACGATAACTGGACTGATCACATCCAAAAAAGTCAAGCTAGGTGATCTGCTGAACGCGAGGAAGAAATCCCTCACCAGAAATCGAGACTACCAATGAGCGAATAGACATCTCGGCTGGACTGAACTCGGACGCTGAAAGGTTACACAGCATAGATTTGCAGGTAGATGACGCACTGTAGAAAGGGAGCTCAACGACAGAAACTCAACAAGAGAAGCTGAGTTTACAGGAGCTGAGTTTACAAGCCATGAAATGTAAGGGGATAGTGATAACTGGGGAGAGCAGACTGAGAAACAATACCTTGCATATCATGACTGGCCTTCGTACAAAGGATCAGTGCAATCTAGCTAGCCATGCCGATCTTTGTGGGATACGGTCCCTACAAGGTTGGCTGCAGATCGATCTGCCCCGCATTTTATGCCCCCTAGCGTCCTGGGCTGCATTATTGTACCACCTACCCGGACCTGCTCCGTATCCAAGTAAAATTATTTCTATTCTGAAATTATGGATAATGTGCCCTCGTCTCGTGGGGCCGGGTGACATTCTTGAATAAATTTCCACCAAGCTCGCTTGGAGTTTCCTTTACCTGAGATTCGGCAAGTGCCCCTAGGGAGAAATTCATGCTGCTCATGACGCTAATGGCTGTCCATGACCATGGTAGTGAGAGTGACGACGAGACCACTCGCGCTTCGCGTGGACACTCGGCTTCGGCTGTTGTTGATGGATCTGTAGAGATTAGTGAGTGCATTGAGTGCGTTGAGTGCAAGACAGGAGCAAAGAGAACAGTATTGAGAAGACAAGGATTATGGGGAAAGAAGATAGTCTGAGAAACCTACCGAAGATTGACTGGGTGCTGCTGATATCAATGAAGAAACGGCGGTCCCAGAAGAGGATTCAGAGAGTCCATCACAAGTGCCCGATATGAAATGCGGATTCTGTGCCTGGGACACCGGCTCCTCTCGATAGAGTTGACATTCCTGGCCGGAACTGGAATACAGCCAGGCGCGACATGCAGAGATCCCGCCGCATTTCGCACCACAGGCAAGGTTGTCGGGTACCTCGTAGGAGAAAGTCAAGGGGGCATGACTGAACAAGGATACTGTGTTGTGTTGGATTGAATCTGTGCAATTTGAAGATGACCCAGCTGTCAATGTTGCTGTTACTTCGAGGGGAAAGCAGGGCACTTACGGCCCAAAGACAAAACATAATGTTGATAGGTAGGGGTCCTTTGTTCTCCCAAAGGTTCAGCGACAAGATGTATATGGAGCAAAAAACATTCGAGATAAGGCACGGACTTAAGTGGTGCCAAGCTGCCAAGCACGGAGTGTACTCGAAGATTAAAGCAAGACACCCGCTAGGCTATACTAGCGCTGGTGCCTTCGGTTAGCTTGTTAGTCGCCTCAATGCGTCCAAACGCTCCTAACGATGAGAACCTTGCACGTTCAAACCCGAGTGCCCACTGGTAAAACTAGATGTCTTTTAATTTTAAGATTATATCTGTGAGCGCAAATATGAGAAAATACGGAGTACTCCGACTGGGGTTGCAATACCCTGTCATGCTAGCCCGAGAAGGGAAGTTAGTGCATATGAACATATTAGCCTATTTGGAGATAGCCGATCTAGAATTCTCTCAGGGTCTAAAGCAAATAAATTGTTCGATAAGAGATATCAAGGAGACTCGTAACCAGCACCACAAGTCGCGTCTGTCGCATCCGTGGCTCTCCATACATCGTAAGGAAGAAAAATCACAACATGGTGCCCCACACAATCATCAATGGCCTTTCGCGCGCGCTCGTGATCACCATGGAACTCTTCCCGCAAGCGCCGTGCCTCGACTTCAGACATAGGCCACCAGTCCGCCTGTTTCATGACGGAAAGTACCAACTCTCGGGGTAAGCGCTTATCCAGATGCGATGCCTGCTGCGCTGCAGCGGCCCACCAGTCGTGCTGCTGTGGAGGTACATTGCGTGTGGAGCATACTCGATAGTGCGGATCCACTAGACGAAGCTTGACAAGGGTTAGATTGCCGGGCTGACTAGCATCCTTTAGGCGAAATGACTCTTGCTTCGACCGATAAGTATTAGGCCAGCTCAGAAGATGGCCCTCCGTAGTCCCAACGGACCCGAAGGTATGTAGTGCCCGAGGAGGCCTCTCCTCATAAATTTCCCAGTGATCCACATCTAGGACAGTCGATAGTGCATCCGGGACCTCGCATTCGAGCTCACCCGCATGGACTTTATCCTCATGTTCGAACGCCACGCGGGCCTGGGTTACATTCTTGGATTCCACCACGTATAAACTGGTGGCAACAATATGATCATTGCGGAGCCCCTCGGTGTGGAAGTGAGTATCTCCAGGATACACGGGATTCTCCGGTGTGAGTTCGATACGATTAATCTCCACCACGACCTGGAGACCGTCATGCTGAAATTTCTGCTCCAGTCTCACCGGAATATGATCATGGTGTAGTGGATCCGGGTACTTCCCAACACGCTGCGGGTTTATCGCGCGTCCTGTAAATTGACCCTGTTTCCATTGCTCATACGAAAATGAGGCGCCGGGTTCAGGATGGTCGAACCAGGTTCTCCGCTTTCGTTTAGAATTGATGGCACGACGCACATCTCTTGGGCAGTCCCACTGCTCTGGGGTCATGTCTTCCAATAGAATTTCATGCTTGCTATCATACGCCTGCTTCCATCTTGGTTGCTCAGGCCCTGTGATGTACTCGCGAGCGGCGTCACATCGCTCCTGCCACTCTCCATAGGTATCACACGCCGCAGACCAGGTGAGCCATCCGCATACCAGGTCACATAGCTCGTGATCTTCTTTGTTATTGTGGATCTGGCAACCATACGTTAAGATGCGTGGCGGACGGCGTCCACGGGTATTGCCGTAGAAAAGAATCTCGTTCCAAGAAGGAACCGCGGCTGCGATGAGGCGCTCAAGGTGTCCGTACAACCCCGTATGGTGGTCAGGGTGGAGATTATTCACATAGGATGTAATCTGAACATCGGCGTTGTTTTTCGGCGTTTGAGGACTGAAGTGCACTTCGCAGGGAAGCCATTGGAAACGATTCGACCAGCAGCTCTCCTGCCCTCCATATCCAGGCTCGCGGAACACATCCGACTCCGGCCGTCTTCCGGTTTGGGCGAGCGGATGGATCGGCAGGTCTTTGGCAACCTGACCAGCTAATCCCCATAAATTTTCCAAGGGAACATTTCCACCCTGAACTAATACATGGGTGCGGTCGTACACTAGCGGAAATAGAGAAGGGTCGACAAGGGGGGAATCATGGCTTTGCTGTGACCCTAGTCGGGTAACCTCCTTTTGGAATTCCTCCGGTGACACTGTCATTGACAAATTGGCCTGACACACAGCGGAGGAGCTGTCAAAAATCAAGAGATGGCCCATTGTCTGCCATATCTCCGCTTTGTCGCGCAGTTCCGCGAGGCACCAATTCCACGTGGCGGTACTGATAAGAAATCCTTCAATTCCTTCCTTGGCGTCCTGGTACCACTCCGCCAGCTTGGTCTCATCCGGGTCCAGTATAGCGCGATCCCATCCAGGCTGCTCCGTGATGTGTAACATGAGTCGGAGCATGGCCATCTCTCGCTTGGTCAACCGAGGCGAGTGGCGATATTCAACCAATCCGTGGGCAAAGCGGGCCTCGGGGGCCAGTTCAAAAGTCAGGGGGATTGAGCTAAATCCTGGGACCTGAAGCGGACCATGGCCAGTGTTATTGAGAGACGCCATTTTAAAACAATTGGGTCCAAGTGCTGAGTTCTCCTCCACAGGGGGGTCTGAAAAGAGCTTAGGTGGTGAAAGCAGTGTCGGGCTTGAATTGCGAAAGGTAGAGAGAGGGGAAGACGGGTTATATGGAAAATGACACGAGATCACACAACTATCCAGTTTGCTAACGGATGCCATAAGCGAGCCGCCATCTCCCACGCATATAGTAAATGCACAAGTAGCAAATGCGATACATTACAACTTGTTATTTCAACAGAGTCTACCCTGATTTTCCCTTCTAGTTTCACGGTTTCTATATAATATCTGGTCGCTTTAGGAAGTTTTTGAATTTTTAATCCACAAGTGACTGAAATATACAGGGGTTTGGCGACATTATTTCCAATACAATAAATAACAACCCAAGTCTTCCAAGCTTCGATTTTGACAACATGGCTATATATTCCAAGAATACTTATCAATACCCATCTACAAATAGTAGAAGTCAGATTAAATTGTAGTTACAGCATCAAACTATAATTGGCCGCATTTACCACCTAGGTATTATAGTGGTGGAACCCGTAACTGTAGCGTATTATTGGTCTAAGGTGTCGCAAATGCCCTAGGAAGCCTGCATGCAGTCTTCTCCTTCTAGAAAAGAGCATCCATCCATCATCAATATGACTACAGTTTTTCCACCAGATTCTTCATTCATGATATAGCTTCAAGATCAGTACTTCAGTCGCTTCCTGAGACTACTCTCTACGCCTACGGTGGGCATGGGAGTGGTTGGTTGTCTTCTCTCCATTGATATCGACCCGTCTGCTATATCAGACTGCCATCGAGCCATCCCCATTTCAGTATGTGTTTTCAAGATAAAGGCCACAACATGTAGTTAAACTGGGTTCAGGTCTGATCCCTACGGCATACACGTTGAAAGCCTCGAGAACGACGACGTCGACCAATAAAATTACATTCACATATCCAAAAGCCGGTAGTTACCGGGCCTCGCAGGCGGCCAGGCTACCCAGCGAGTCAGACTGGCTGCGAATACTATACTCTGCACGATGCGGAGATGATCCCGGGTTGTCTTATCAACCTGCGAATCCTCACTCATATGTCGAGCAAAATCCTTGAAGCCGGCTAATATAGGTAGCATTTCCTTCTTTGTTTGTTCCGCATTTGCAACCGCAGTTGCGTACCAATCGATATCCGAAAAGGTGGCCAAGCCGCCCTCCAAGACCACTTGCTTCTCTTTGATATTCCTCATGAACTCTGGGCCCCATTCGCCCCGCACGGCTTCTTTCTTAGCCTGGAGCAAATCCTGCTCACGCTCGGCCTGGATATAAAGTAATGTCCTTTTGGCGCCAGCCAAAAGCCCCCTTGAAGAGCTTCGGGGTGGTGGTCGCGTGCGTCGATGAGAATGTCGGTGGCTTTAAGAAGAACGAGACTGTGAGGAACCTTTGAACGAAACATCACTATGTCGTTGTATCTGTTGAAATTCTTCTCCACCATTGTATTGGCAAGCTCTTTAAGGTCGCCAGGGAGAGTGACGGCGCCTATCTTGCCACCATCGCCTAATGCCCCGGCATCAAAGGGGGTTTGAATGCTCCGGATGAACTCCCACACTGTGCAAACAGCTCTGCCTCCAGTTGGCTCGCACTGGGCGCCGATAGTCCGGCTGTTTTTATTGACTTGCACGTCAACCAGATACCCATAATAGAGATATATGGCTTCATAACTGTGCGCGAGTTTGGACCCGCCGGCCTTCTGCGCAAAAATGGTGCGCGAAAAGAAGGTCAAGATTCCGAGAAATATGAATGCGATCTTCATTTTGATGTAATTCAAACAAAAAGGTTATATAGAGAATAGTCGGTGTTTGCGAGTCAGGTAGGAGAGGCAAAATGTTGTGAATTTCACAGCGGTAGAGAAGAATCACTACATTCAGGAATTCATAATAGGGAATTGAAAGAGCTCCTGCGAGCGCGCCCCGCCGGAGCTAGGTTCGATGCCCTTCCCAGGTAGAGAGAATTCGATTTGGTATGACCTCGGGAGTCGGAAATTATTGCTTCTGTTAATGCCTCCATTTAGATTACTAGTGCTTGACTAGCCTAGCACCGAGATTGTTAGATTAGGGTCGAGTTATTAGTGTCTACGTCAAATCCCTAGTCTTTAATAATTTTTTCTCGATGTTAATGCCTTTTTGGATTAGTAGTGTTGGACTAGCCTGGCACCAGATTGTTAGATTGGAGTTGAGGTAGTACTGTCAATTTCATATTTCCGGTCTTTAATTATTTTTTTATCTCTGTTACATCCCCTGTGGATAGGCGCGCCAATCGACTATTTAGCACCTGAATGTCACCTGTCAAGTGGAAATCATGAGCCACCATGCCCTTCGGAACATGGATTTCTATTCTAGTCTTTCATTTTGGATCTTTTTACCAGTTCTTGATCGGTGTTCGCTCTTTTTACCATTTTTCACTCATTCTTTTTTCTTTTCTGTCCCACTCATCTAAGGCGTGCCTAGCTCTGATTTCTTTTTGCGTCCGTTTGTATTTTCTTTATTTGATTTACAATGAAGCTCCTTCGGAGTCTGGTTGTTGCAACATGCTACCTGACTCTCAAGGTCCAGGCAAGGGCAGTGTTTGCTCATTTTATGGTTCGTAATGCTCATGAACACCCGCATTGGTGGCTCTTTACGCGGAACGTGGCTGATTATAGCAGGTCTCCAATACGGCCGGATATAAAGTCTCAGATTGGGAGGACCATATGACTGAGGCCATCCATGCCCATATTGACGCGTTTGCCCTCAACATTGCCAATGACGAGAGCACTACCGAGGCTTCCTTGGGAAATGCTTTCCTGGCGGCCAAGAATACTGGATTCCAACTGTTTTTTTCATTTGACTACACGGGGAATGGCCCCTGGGACAAAGCAAAAGTGATCGAGCTTCTCAATGCCTACGCCGGCACCTCGCTGACCTACTGGCATCACAACGGCCAACCCTTGTGCTCCACCTTTGAAGGGCCTGGCAATGCTGCCGACTGGGCAGACATCAAGAAGGAGACGAATTGCTTTTTTGTACCTGATTGGTCATCCTTGGGAGCTAAGGTTGCCATGGAGCAGGCCGATGGAATTGCAGATGGTCTCTTTAACTGGGCCGCCTGGCCATATGGACCGTCGGACATGGATACCTATACCGATGCCTCCTACCAGCAGTTCCTGGATGGCAAACCGTATATGATGCCTGTCTCGCCTTGGTTCTTCACCAACATGCCCGGCTATGATAAAAATTGGATGTGGCGCGGGGACGACCTTTGGTATGATCGTTGGCAGCAGGTCATGTATCTGGCGCCGGAATTTGTGGAGATCATTTCTTGGAACGATTATGGCGAGTCCCACTATATTGGACCCTCTTACGACAGCCACAACGAACTGGCCGATGCCACCTACGTGGCATTCGGCGACGGATACGGGGATTCGCCTTTCAACTACGCCCAAGCCAATGATCATAGCGGCTGGCGAGCCTTTCTCCCCTTCCTCATCGACAATTACAAACAAAACGTCACCACGATTACAGAGGAAGGTGTGTCGGCATGGTATCGGCTTAATGCGGCCGGAGCGTGTGCTTCCGATGGTGGCACGACGGGAAATACAGTGAGCCAGCTGCAGTTAGAATATCAGGTCAAGGATATCGCTCAAGATAAGATCTTCTACTCTGCGCTCTTGGGTTCTGCAGCCCAGGTTACGGTCACGATAGGTGGTGTGGATCTGGGCGCCGTTTGGACTCATGTTCCCAGCGGCAACGCGGGCATCTACCACGGTAGTGTGCCTTTCACAGGCCATTCCGGGGATGTACATATCACGATCACTCGCGCTGGAGGCACCCTGGTCTCCCTCGGCGGAGAATCAATTTCCAGCGGGTGTTCTAACACCATGGGGATCGAAAATTGGAACGCCTGGGTCGGCAGTGAGATGGCCGGAAACTCGATATCTGTTAAGTCTCCCTCCCTGGCCAATCAGGTCTTCATTCAGGGTTGGGGCAAGGGCAACTTTGCCGGGTTGTGTGACTTCACCTGCAGCCTAGGGTACTGTCCTTTAGGCGCCTGCGTGTGTTCGAAGATGGGACCCCAGGCTAAGCTGCCTGTGGCCACTGGCATTCAAGGATATCCCACTGCGGGCGAGAGCGCCAGCTATAGCGGTCTATGTTCCTTTGCTTGCAATTACGGCAATTGCATTGCGGGTGTATGTGGCACTGTTGAGGTCCCGCTCACCGTGCCCACGATCTCGCCGTTCACCCCGGATACTTGCACGGCTGGCTCCGGGTCTGGTGCCTTCGCCGGCTTGTGCAGCTATGGGTGCAATGTAGGATACTGCCCTATCCATAACTGTACCTGCACAGCCACGGGCCCTTTGAACGTCCCCCCAGCCGCTAACGCCAGTACCACTGGCCTTTCCACCGTCGGCAGTGACAGTGGCCTCTGCAATTTTGCCTGCGAGCGAGGCTACTGCCCGGGTCCAACTTGCGTCGACAATGCAGATCTTCCAGGCGGCTGTGCGAATGACGATGGGTCGGACCCCGCATGCGCTGAGCCCACGGTCTGCAACTTCACCCTGGATTTCAGCACGTTAGATGCGTTGGAGGACGCGGTCGGCAATCTAGATCCAGTATGTGTGGACTTCTACACGTTGGATGGGCTGGCAACGGTACTCGAGCAGACCCTGAACAACTACACGGGAATCACAAACAACTACGACACGAAATTTGACGAATATGTCGACTACATCAAAGAGATCATTCCCGATCAGCTGAATGAGTTCATGCGTGTTGAAGCTCCCTATGGCCCAGGGAACCAGTTCTTCCGGTGCACCTACAACCATATTGGCCGGAACAGTACCACGGGATCGTGCCCCGGAGACATTGGTATTATCTCGGGCACCTATACGGTCTACTACGAACTGGTGGATGAAGAAGGCTTCTACGATAAACTGTCCGCTGACTATGGCATCGACGCGTCATGGGTGCAGCTCGGGACGAGCACCTTTGACGAGACGTGTACGCCCGTTATGGATAAGATTGGCTGCGATCCAGTCCACTCGAAGTATATAGGAATTCCCGTCAAGGCAGCTGACAGCGCCATTACTGTGACCAACCCCAAAGATATCATGACCCAGGCCTTGCCGAACTTGCAGAACCTCACAGCCACCATCTCTGTGGCGAAGATTGAGCTGGCACTAGGGTCATGGCTTGGTGGCACGGACGATCTCGTGCAATCGATTTCCATGGCGGTCTTCATGCTCAGTCAGGCTGTGACCAACATGCAAGAAGTGGTCGAGGTTGCCGACTCATACGAGGCGACGAAGAAGAAGGAGTTGATCAACAATATTTTGATGGGGGTACTCCTGGTTGTGCCGTTTTTGGGCGAGGTGGATCTCGTGGCAGATGCCTTCGTTGGACTATCGCGAATCATTACGTTGATTGGTGATGCGGCGGTGGGTGCTACCACAATTTATGCCATCGTGGAAGACCCCAAGATGGCCCCACTCATGATTCTGGAAACCCTCCTGTTTAGTGGTATGCGTAATCCCGATGAGTTCTCGGCCATGGGCACAGCTCGGAGAGGCATGAGCAAGGAGAATATCAAGAGTCTAGGCTCAGGGATCGCCGCCCTAGACAACCAGTTCCAGGGTATTGTTGCTAAATGTCTGGCCAAGTAATCACTAAATTAGAGCTAGATATTTTTTTTTTTTTTTTTTGCTTTACCTCTTCAAAAAGATAAATAGAGTATCTCGCCGAGGGGCCTGGCGCCGCCTTTCAAAATCAACTACCGCATGCTGCGCCTCAAAACATTGGGGGTGGTAGTAAAGCCACACTTTAAAACTGCTGAAATGTATTGGAGCTCCTGCTATGCTAGATCGGGCCGTCAAATTATTAGGCGGCTAGTGGCCCCGTTTTGCTGGAGAGGGACAAGAGAGACCCCTCCGTTTTCCTCTTGCGTGCAAATAACATGAATCCTAATCTCCGACCAAAACCGATCAGCACCTGGCTCTTGAAGGCTTCTGGACCTTTCGAGTGAAATAGGACCATGCCACTCCAAGGTGGAGAGAGGAGGCAAATCGAGAACGGGAAAATAATGTTGGAACGAAGGGCACCTGAATAGTAGGCCTGGGGAATATGATTGGTTCCTGACTACTCCTTGCTACACCTTGGGGGAAGCCCCAGACTACAGAAGTGCTTATATTCATAGCTATGTTCGACGGGAGATTGCTTTTGATCTTTAAGTCCCAGAATCGTAGTTAAAATTTTGTTACGAGTGTATGAGATGGTTATAATTAAGTCAATGGCGACATCACTGCTCTAGATGCCCGGTGTTCTTCATCCTGGCAGCGAAAGATATAAAGCCTGAACATCTCTCTCGGCTGACCAAAGTTAGATTTGAAAAGTTCTCTCAATTCTCGTATTCTCATAATCTACTACTTAAGCATACAATTTCTAGTCGATTTGCCACCCGTTCTGAACTTTCATGTCGGCGTACCATGTCTTGACATACTCCTTTCCTGCATGAGGCCCATACAGTTCAACCTCCCATTGAGGCGAAGGGGCAGCAAGCCCCGTCTCTGCAAGACATGTTTCCCGCAACTCCTCGATGCTTCCACCGCGATCGTAAATCGGAAGTTCTCCAATCTGAGCACGCTCCAAGCGCATCCTGGTCCGCAGCTGTTCAGTTGACGGATAGTCAACTGTAAAATCGCTGTTAACGATAACGCCATATCCGTTGCGCGCTCCATCCACCGTAACAAGCTTGCGATGGACTTCAAGGGCGACCTTTTCTGCAGGTCGCGTCAAAGGATCGCCCAGCCCGCCTCCGCCCCAGGTCACCCACTCGAGGAGATCACCGATGTCAACGCGGATATGGTCACATTTTGATGGCAGAATTTCAATGGGTGGGTTTTCAGCTGACTTGGAGTACCGGTACAAGGTCTTGCGTGATCGCTGGCCTGGTTTCCCACCTTTCAGACCCCATGGCTTGGTAAACCACCGATCATCGTGGAGACTGAATTCACCACGGCACAGGAACCGATATTGTGTGCGTTGGGCGTTTCCGCCACGGTGGAACCCAGGACCGCCACTGTCAGCGACGCTTTCATTGGCTTCAATACGTAATGGATAATTGAGCTCAATGCTTTCGGTAGGGATGGACTTGATCGCAGGGAAAAGGCAGTGACAATCGGGACCGTCGCCGGCCTGGCGTGCAGGGACACCTCCGAATCCGATTTGATAAAGCTGATACCACTCGCCGTTAGGTTTGAACCCGGAATAAAAGAAGTGAGGCGAGTCACTAAATCCGGCTGCGGCTTGGTAAGCTTCGTTCTTTTGGCCGATTAGGGCTTGGACAATATCGAGTGTACGACCCATGAGATGGGTACGGCAAGAGATTGGCGCGGGCCGGACAGGCTTAAGCACTGTGCCTTCAGGGATATGCACATCGATAAGGTCGTGGAACCCATCGTTGATGACGGTCCCCGGGGCAGCAGCCGCGATAAGATAGTACCCAATGAACATTTTGAACATAGTCTCCGACAGATAAAAGTTGATACTGTGCCGGCTTTGTGGAGAAGTCCCGTTCCAGTCAAACAGCAGCCGGTGACCGTCAATCTTTTTCATAGAGCAGCTGAGAGCCCAAGGTCCGACCCCGTGGCCATCGTCGTCAACAAAGTCCGTGAATTTGCTCTCTTTGTCGTCAAACTGTCGTTCGATAATCTTTGCTAGTCCGCTGCGATTCCGGTGCAATAGCTCATCAGAGGCAGCCAGGTAAACTTCACAGCCAAAACGGGTTGCTAACTCGTAAACTCGTCTAGCGGCCATAGAACATGCCGCTACAATGGCTGTTAGATCGGAGCGGTACCACGCGGGCTGACGGGAGTTTCGGCACAAAAGCTCCACTAGATCGGAGTTCATAACGCCGCGACTGTATAGCTTGACGCAGGGGATTTGGACACCATCGTCGAACACTGAGGTGGCGTTAATAGACATGCTCCCGGGAACCATACCACCGACGTCCGTCAAGTGGCCGAACTGCGAGGCCCAGCCGATGATTCGATGCTCGTAGAAGATGGGCAATAATACAATCACGTCATTTAGATGACTGATTGCCCCCTGCACCTGGTAGGTGTCATTGGTGACGAATATATCGCCTTCCTCGATGGTGCCATGCCAAACTTCGAGGAACTGGGTGATGAAACTGCCAAACTGGCCAACAAGCATCTTTCCTTTACTGTTTGTAATAACATTGAATTCGTCTTGTTGCTCTCGAATGGCTGGCGACATGCTACACCGTAGCATCATCTTATCCATCTCGCCTCGGATGGAGGCAAGAGCTGCAGATATCAAGGTAGGAATTAGAGGAGTGCTTTTGACGAGATCACTGGCCGACTGGGGTGTATGGCTGCTCGAAATCGAGGGCTTTTTGTCTAACGGGTTGATCAGAATATTCCCGATGCTGTCTATCTCTCCGTAGTAACCAGGCAGAATCAACGTGTTGCTATCCATCTCTGTGATGATGCATGGCCCGGTTACCTGGACACCCTTTTGAGTGATCTTTGAGCGATCCCAGAGTGTAGCCTTTTGCTGCTGGCCTTGGACGATGATGGTCTGCTCCCCAATCTTAGCTGCTGGGGAGGGCTCGGTGGACAATGCCTTTTCAATCTGTGGGATATCAATGACAGGAGAGTCATCGATCAGTACAACTCCTAGCCGCATCAATTCTAATTCAAAATCCGGTAGGCAGTAGGTGAAAAGCTGCTGGTGCTGGCGGTCAAATTTCTCCCGTAACGCAGCACGCCACACGTCAGTGCTGATAGCCAGCTCATCTGCCTCCAGGTCGACCGTGATTGTCAACGCCTGGCCCTTGTACCTGAGGTCGGCCTGGTATTGGGCCTTCCATGTCATAGGCCACGATGAAATTGAAGATCTCTGTAGGGTTTCCCGGCACTGCTTCTCTAGCGTAGAATACTGGTCTCGAACTTCGGCTGCGGTCGTTTCGGACACCAACTGAATAAACGTAGCAGATTTCTCGTGGCTCATCTTGGTTGTCACATCGCCCTGAGCGCACAGGATACCCGGCGAAGGAGGAATGATCACTGGCCATGCCCCTAGTAGTTGACCAACGGCGTTCGCATGCAGGGGTCCAGCGCCGCCGAAAGCCACTAGAGCAAATTCTCGAGGATCATACCCCTGCTCCACGGAAACTAGACGCAGTGCCCCGTAAATAGTTTCGTTGGTGAGAGCGATAATGTCTTCTGCAATCTGGGAGACGGGGAGGTTCATTTGTGACGCGATGTTCTCTACGGCCGCAATTGCCGCCTTCACATCCAACACAAAGTCCCCTCCTAACAAGGTTTGAGGTAAATATCCCAGAACCAGCATTGCATCCGTGACCGTCGCCTGACTTCCATTATTTCCATAGCATGCAGGTCCTGGTGATGCGCCTGCACTTTCAGGGCCCACCCGCAACGTCTCCGTGAGCTCCATATATGTCGCAATCGAGCCTCCACCAGCTCCGACGGTGTGGATATCGACGGCCGGAGAGCGAACAGACAGGTTGTCGATGGTTGTTTCCCGTCGCAGCTGAGGCTGGCCCTTATAAATCAGAGCACAGTCTGTCGAGGTACCACCCATGTCCAGAGTGATTAGGTCCTTATACGGGGTATTTCGAGCCACGATGTCTGCCACGCCTGCGACACCTCCAGCTGGTCCCGACATGAGGATATTGACAGGTAATTCCCCTGCCAGCGTCAAGCTGGTTAGGCCACCGTCGCTCTTGAGGACCCGGATAGTATCACTTTCGGTCATGAGCATATCAGCAAGATTCCGCAGATATGTCTGGACCACAGGTTTCACCAGCGCATTGGTACAGGTCGTGACCGTTCGCTCGTACTCGCCAACCTCGCGCAATACATCAGCAGAACATATAACGGCCACATCAGAGCCGAGCTCCTCGCGGACGATCCCTTCCACCACTCGTTCGTGAGAGTCATTACTGTGTGAATTCAAGAGGGAAATGGCGACGGCTTCGGGATTCTGTCCCGCCAACGCTCGCAAGCTCCGTCGCAGATCCTCAATATCCACAGCCGTGACAGTCTCTCCCTGCACCGACATTCGCTCCTTGCATTGCACGACCCGTTCCAGAGGGACAATGGGCTCTGGTGGAGTGAAGTATAGCCAGGCACCTAGACCGCCTGGGATCTGAGACCGACGCAGGGCCAGAATATCTTTGTGGCCGGCTGTGACCACGAGCGCGGTACGCGCTCCTTTGCCCTCTAGGACAGCATTGGTGGCTGTTGTGGTGCCGTGGTGGATGAACTGGAACTTTCCAGACCAGTTGAATTGGGCCTTGAGGATTTCTCGGGCTTTGGCGATGCCGTTATGAATGCCAATGCTTTGGTCTGGGATTGTGGTTGGGACTTTGGCGCGGACGATTTGGCCGTGAGGAGTGAAGACATAGACGTCGGTGAAGGTGCCGCCGACATCAACTCCGAGTTGATATCCTTGATTCATGACGAATTCGCTCTGTTGGTGGGAATAATAAGACAGTGCCCGCACCATACAAAAAAGAAGCAAAGGTTAAGGAGGAATGAGGGGTAACAATAATAATGGATTAACCCTGCACAGATTGGCCAAGTCTAACTTTCCATCATTAAAATTATTCCTTTACATGTACAATTCGGGGCATCGGTCGTCGAGTGCATCTGCACTAGTATGGAGCCTTGTGCCGTTCCTTGGCTGTGGATACAATGAATGGCGCGGAAAGTGCAGACATGCCGCCTGCAACTTGTGGGCCAGTTATTGGCTATGGAGCAAGACGTGGAGTATAGAGTACAGTAACATCAAGATCTATACAAGTGCATACAGTTAGCCTCGGCCCGCGAACCCACTGTAGATTACCACTATCGCACTTGGGGTCAAACTAAGTACTGCCACCATCCCGTCAAAAGGAATTCCCTAAAATAGAGTTTCTTAATTAATAAACAGCTGTCTGGGATCCCAATTGCTGCCATTGGAGCGCACAGCTGCAGCGTGGTCCACTTCTCAAACAGGAGGTTTTCTTTCCGCCTTGGTTCAGTCTGGCGAGAGCTGTCTAATCCTCAGATCATCCTACAATGACAATGAAAGAGCAGACAGGCCCTCCTTCGGATGACCCGGAGTGCGCAAGCATCCCAAACTCGGCCGAAGAACATGAAGTCTTCAAGAAGACGGCGGATGGCGTTAGCTTTCGTGATGTGGGCTGGTTCAAAGCGTGCGTTCTGTTCGTGAAGGTCCTCTTTGCGACCGGTGTGCTGTCGCTCCCTTCGTCGCTGCTCTCCCTCGGTGCTGTGGGTGGTGCGATTAGCATCGTCGCCTGGGGTGCCTTCAATACATATGCCTTCGTGATCCTAGGCAACTTTCGCCTACGCCGCCCTCACTGTCACTCCATCGCCGACATGGCGGAGGTGGTCGGTGGCGTCGTCGGCAAAGAGATTACTGGCCTTCTATTTATCATCGGCTATGTTCTCGTCACAGGCAGCGGAATCATCGGGGTGTCGACGGCGTTGAATGCCCTCTCGCACCATGCGGCGTGTACTGTCTGGTGGTCATTTTTGGCTATGGTAGTAGTGATCGCGACGGCCTCGATCCGCAAACTCACCCATGTTGGCTGGCTCACGTATGCAGGGTTCACTTCGATTTATGCAGCTGTGCTAATTGTGGTTATTGGCGTCACCACACGAGATCGACCCGCTGCCGCACCCCAGACAGGCCCCTACGAGCTTGGTTATGTGGCTATCAACAATCCAGGTTTCGCCGCCGGTATGGTCGCCTCTAGCACCATATTCGTCTCCTCCGCCGGTACCAGTGCCTTTCTCCCCGTCATCTCGGAGATGCGCAATCCGAAAGACTACAAGAAGTCGCTATACGCCTGCATGGTGCTAGTCACGGCGTCGTATCTCGCCTTCAGCTTGGTTGTTTACCGCTGGTGTGGACAATGGGTCGCCAGCCCGTCATTAGGGGTGTGTAATCCTCATCTACCCCGGCGCTAGCCTAATATCCCATGGTGAACTAACGGGTTCCTATATAGAGTGCCGGCCAAACGATCAAGATGGTATCCTACGGCGTTGCGTTGCTAGGACTGATTGTGAGCGCCACGCTCTACCTTCACGTAAGGAACTCTGCATGTCCTATTTATATGGCATTTTCAACTAAAACCGGTATCTAGGTCGGGGCAAAATACGTCTTTGTACGAATCCTAGGCAAAACCCGTCACTTGCAGGCCAACACGGTGACGCATTGGGGGACTTGGCTTGCCTGTACGGTCGTTCTAGGCGCCATCTCATTCATTCTCGCTGAGGCTATTCCGATCTTCAACTACCTAATTGCCCTGGTTGGATCTTTATGCTTTGCTCCGCTCGCTATATCCCTTCCCGGGCTACTTTGGCTACACGACCATGGCCACTACTTAAAGGGATCTCTTGTGCAGAAGGTCAAGTTCGTCCTCCACATCGGAATGGTCCTTCTTGGTATACTTTTCCTTGTCGGTGCAACTTATGGCGTCATCATCCAAATCAAGGCGGCCTACGCCGAGGGAACTATCGGTACGTGTGGGAGCTTCAGCACACAACGTCAACCTATAATTGACATTTGCTATAGGTGCCGCATTCTCCTGTGCCGACAACTCGAATTCGTCTTAGATTAGCTGGGCTGGTGCTTTTTGGGAAGAGTTTCGTCGATGGGCCGAGCTGATATCTCCCGAGATCTCCCAACTACGATGAAGTCATCATTTGTTTGAGAGATAATGAGCACACTAGCGGAAAAGGGAAAACGGTTATTACAGACTATATAGACTTATGGCCCCACATGAACAATCTATGGAGACATGTCAAGTCGTATTTTTTTCCTGGGAGCCCCTTTTTTATAGCTTTAGCTAAATGACAACATGTTTTTCTGAAATTGGAGAAAAGCTCTTCGGTTAGCACAACAGCGAAAACTACCTATTGTGCCGAATTAACCTTTTTGTCACTTCTCTACTTGACCAGTTCATGCAATGGGGCACGAATTTTGTCCGCATTCGTTCGGCCGCATTTTTTCTCCGTCATCAACGATGAACCTTGTCCGGCCCGCTGTGGGGCCCTGGTGCTAAAGTCTTGGGGCCAAACTCTTGAGGGCTAAACTCTGACGGCCGCAACGACCTTTGTCTCACTGTATCTGAAATACCAGCCCTTGGCTTGGCTCCACTCGGGTGGCTTTCGGGCCCGATCAGCCCCACCCAATGAATTTAGTGAATCCTTCAGAACTGTCCAGGCAGTGATTTTCCTTTAAACCCATTTCTAGTGTGGTGGCCGAGCCGTGAAGACCACTGTCAGGACAGACGAGCTCAAGACAATCTATGGCGTACCCCGTACCGAGCGACACTCTCGACTAGTGATGCAAATTTCTTCTGGATACATCCTGATTGCATAGTATCTCTTGGGACTCTTATCTCAGCCTTTCCAGCAACCCTCAATTACTATTCTATGCTGCCCAAGAGTACTACGTTCAGCCCTTGCTTCTACGGTTGACAACGGGACAAGAAACTCGACTAACGACATCAAAAACTACGCGAATGGAGCAGCAACCTGCCGTCCCGCCGCCGATAGGGCAGTCCTCCAACTTTGCACATCCTAAAGATGTCTTACACACAGTGAACCTCGTGGCGCAAGTATTGTGTATCATAGTCGTCACGATGTTTGTGGCTCTACGTCTGTGGATCAGAGCTCGATATCATCAGAGCTTCAATGCAGAAGACTGTGCGTAAAAGCCTGTCATTGAGATCGAGGATGCTTTGATACTGACTATTTACTCCAACAGACTTTACAGTTGCTGGATGGGTATGGCTTCCTTGAGCTCTCTGTTGATCGTGTCTAACGCTGACTCCTTCAAAGGCCCTATTCATGGTGTTTTGCGCTTGCATGCTTCTACGTGCGCATTCGATTACCTGAAACTTGATATGGGTATTGCTAACCAAGATACAGTCAATGTCTACGGTGGTGGATACAATGCATGGGATGTCACTGAGACCGAGTTCATCAAGTTTCAAAAAGTTCAACCCAATCCTCTCTTTTATCCTTTCAGCGCGCTAACGAGCGAATTAACACAGGTCTCCTACGCAACCACGCTGGTTTATGTTCCGATGGTCTTTGTGATCAAGATCGCTCTCCTAGCAGTCATGGGAAGGATTTTTGCTCCCCACCGCCGGAAGGTTATAGTCATATACATCAGCATCGGCATCATGCTGTGCTATTACGTCGCAGCGCTGTTCCTCAAGATATTCTTCTGTGACCCTATCTCGGCATACTGGTTTGGTACTTCCAATGGTGGCAAGTGTCTTAACCAGCGGAATGTCATTATTGCCGACTCAGTCATCAGCATCGCCAGCGACTTGTGGGTTCTAATCTTGCCTGTCCCAATGATCTGGTCACTTCAAATGACACGGGCAAAAAAATTGCGAGTCGTCGGAATACTAGGTGCCGGGGGCTTGCTACGGCGTTCAGTGTCTGGCGACTAGTGATCATGGTGGCGGAAAGCAATACGACAAACACAACGTGGTTCTGGATCCACTGCGTTTTGACTGCGTAAGGAAAAACCCTTCTCTCTTCCATCAACAGATGGTCTTGCGCGGTCGCCGCTGACTGAATGTCGACAGTAACGCCGAAGCAGGGATCGGGCTAATCTGTGCCTGTCTACCTGCAATGAGCCATTTCTTCACCAGGGTGAAAAGCAAGAGAGGAACCGCCACCAATAACAGCTATTTGAATAGCCATGAGCTTGAAAGCCGGAAATATCGCGCCAATCGCTCCGACGCCCTGAAACCCACCGACAACTTCTTCCTGTCCAACCAGAACGATCAAGCGCATCTTATTTCCACTTGTGTTGGTCCCGAACAGCGCGAGAACTCTATTTCCAGCGTACACTCCGAACAAAATACCGCAAACTCTGAGGGGATTGGCAAGAACGTCACCGTGTCGCAAGTCTTTGAGGTTGTGAAATAATAATACCCCGGGCCGCCTCTGTACGGACTGGTTTTGCTGCTGTTACTACTGTTCTGCCTGTATTTCTTATTCGTTACGTCCCTTACGGGAATGTACAGTGGACGATTATTTGAGTGATTCGTAAAGCGCCAGAAAGAACGAGTCCAGCCTCAAGACTATGCTCATTGTTTTCATGGCGTCTTTCCCGAAATTCCCAACTTAAATCCCTTATACTTAAGATGTAACTTCAAATTTTGTTTCTATTCCTCCTTTCTAACTGATCTAGCGATGTGTTTGCGAGAGGTATTTTTAACAAAGAGAACGGGTACTTATATCGATAGTGGTATCGTAATAGAATGCGAATTCGGATTTACCTCCATCCTCATATGATTAATTCCTAAACCACAATTTTGAAACACGCCAACTTCAACTTCACGTCCTCCTCTCCTCATCCTTCTAGCGAGACGAAACCGTATCCACTAGTAATTACAACGAGCTAGCAGGCCTATCGTAGACCTCGTGACTAATTATGCTCGATAAACTCTGCGGTCTGCTCTCTTAAGATCAAATGTCGCGGAAGAAAATACGAGCAAGCTCTAGCTTAATAGGATTCGTCCTATCCGTCCTATAAGAGACGGGTGACCTCTGGCACCATTTAAGGACGGAAATGCGTGACTCCTGTCGAACGAGACTAGAGGGTTGCGAGGAAACTCTATTCCGATATTAAGAGTCAATCAATTTAAACATTTATTAAACATCAAGGTAGCGTTTCTCGGCACACGAGATACGTGACTTCTGTCGAATGAGACTAGAGAGTTGGGGCGGAACTCTATTCCAATATTAAGAGTCGATCAATTTAACATTTATTATACAGACTATACGGCGTATAGTAAAGGTGGCGTTGCTTGGCATACTACAGTAATCTTAAGGCCGAGCCGTGGACCATCCCGGGATCTGCCGACGGGGCTAACCATCCGTGTCTCCGCTTCCGCTTACGTACGCGAGTACCCACGAGTGTTTCGGACTTTTGCTACGGATGTACTCCGTACGTACCGTACCGTCTTGAACTACCCGATAATCTTAAAGTATACCTAATCAATATCTTGTAGCAATCATATTTGTTGTTCTCCATCGCTGATCATGGCGGGTGACGAGAAACTTAGACGAGAGTTCTTCGTCGAGGGGATACAGATCATCCAGAGAGAGTTTGGCTCGAGAGGCCCCCATGAACAACCGATTAAGCCACCAATAGGTACATTTACTGAAAATTCCGGTTGTACTTTCTGGCGAGATATGACCAGCTTCTGAGCGTTTACTTATCTCCGATACAGGTAACAGGCATCGGGTTACAGGTTGAAACAGCCACAAGGTCCGGACTTGTGCCATCTCAAATATGAGGGTCCCTAGCAAATAAAGACAGATCAAGCTCGAAGGCTCGTTGAATGTGTTTGCTTGTAGAGTGACAGTATTAGTAACGCCAGAGTGCTGACCATCGCGATCACAGCAGATGGAATGGACAGCTTTGTTCTTGGGAAGGTGGCAAGCACCATAAAACGAGGAGAACAACCTTTAGTGCCAGCGATAGAGTGAAAAAACCTACGTAGCATTTCAACAGCAGATTAGCTTGCAAGTGATATTTTTCCGGAAACGCTCAGCAAGTTTTGAAGGGACCAGTGTATGGCAGGGAAGTACGTATTGAGGACGATGTCTGGGTATGCGGAGTGTTTCTGTGCTCGGTTGTGTGCAGGTCGGAAAGGGGAGGATGATTGTGCTAGGTCAGTGGCGACAAAGGTAAGTAGCTAGATCTATTACATTCTTACCTTGAACATTCTCGTACATCGTTACCAACATAATGTGGCCTAACTTCGTAGGATGTTCCTCCTTTCCATTCTGTTGCGGGCAATCCCGCTCGAATTATCCGCCGGATTAAAAGACCCCCATGGCTTACCCTAACCTGATCCTCAGTCCGGATCACCGAATGGTATTGCGGATGATGACATCCTTCGTGCGCAAGATCATGAAGCGGTATTAAGGAGTATATTCTCAATTGTAGCGTCCTTGGGACTTGCATTTAAGTCCGATATCTTCATGCCCTCGAATTCTTGCTCTAACTCATTTATCCAGTATCATCAAGTCTTGGGTCGGTTGTAGAGGAGACGAATGTCGGAATGTCCCTTCTCTATGCCACACCTTTGCCCAAGTGACGTCCCGCAGGTTGAGTAGGTATTAGATTGTGCAAACATTAAATTACCTTGCTTACAGTAGTGCAGACTACGCATGAACATGTTTTCAGACGAGACTGAATATTCCAGCTAAAGCTATGGCCCTAGAAATTCCCATGAGCAATGTCCTCTTCGAACCACTCCGGGCTGCCTATGAGCCCATTAACATCCTCGAATTCACTCATTTTTATCGCCATTAGCATTTCTTCGAGCTTAAATTCGCGTGGCGGCTTTCCCAAGTCCTTAAGACCCTTGTGCCGGCACCGGAGACAGCGAATTTCCTCAAGTTCCCTCGGTGAGAGTGTGAAGGGTAAAGGCAACGGAGGTTGCTTTGATACACAAGGCTCGCACGTACAACAATACGTGTAGTATTTCCCATATCGACACCTCGCTCGACATATAGCGCAGAGGACCTCCTCCCGCCCATCCACCTTAAGGAATTGGCCTAGTTGATACATCCTATTGCGGCAGCCGCAATCGAGGCAAAATCGTCGGTGGCTCTCGATATGGCCTTTCCCCCGCCTAGCTCGTAATTGCTTATCGGTAAATACATTCCTAGCTCGAAGTTTCATGCACATATTGCAGGAAAAGAGCTGGTTATATCTATAATCATTAGTAACTAGACGATTGGTTGATCGGCATAGCAGGACTTTGTTTTCCTAGGAAGCACTTACTTTGGCCACAGCTCCATAGCAAGTAGAAACGATAGTTTCTGTTACGCTGTCGTAGGTAGGTCTACAGGACTGTACGAAATGTTAAAAAAGGCATGTAGCTGTGCAAAAATTTCTCTTGGGTAGCTTACTTTATGAACCCGCGTTGAGAAATGGTGACGTTGATGGCTCTTAGAGGAGGGGCTTTGAAGTTGAACTGTCCAGCATATTAACGATTCGAGGGAATGCTACCATCCTGGTAACTATCTATAAAAAGCAATACAGTCCCCGCGTCATATACCCGAAACTCCACTAGTTCGTTTAGATTTCCATCTATGTTTTTATTATGGCAAAAGCTAGATCTCTGTTAAAATGCTTGAGCTTATCCCAGATATATTGGCAATTACGTGGTTTAAAAGCATGTTTTCTACATTTTCGCAAGCACGAAGATGCGGGATTATACACGATTTTGCTGGTCATCATACAACTTAGCTAGTTCGTTCAGTCTTAGTGGGAACATTTCCGATCCGAAAGCACACAGACCAATTACTCTATTGATTGCGGAATGGCGAGGACAATGGCGAAGACAAGAAAGCTCTCGCAGGAAAGCCGTTAAGCTGAACTTTGCGGCTAAGTGCTCGCCGCTACGATTGTGACCTCCGTTTGATCCTCAACCTTCTTTCATAGCCATCATAATGCTAATAATTCACCCCTCTAATGTTATCCTTCGAAGAACATTCCCACAAGGGCTTTACTGTAAAATAGTTATGCTGTAGCCCAAAAAACACTAGTGATCGTGATTTCCGAAGTAGTGGCAAATAGCGTGCTAGTAGATGGAGTGGCAGTGCGAAAAGATGTACAGTAAACTTCCGTTTTCAGCATACCCTCGTTCAACGTCGTCCGAGTGAACGGCTTTGTCCGGTATATTGAGTGAAATACGTAGCCGCTTAACAAGGCTTTTACCGGGGCGCGTTTGATCCGGTTCAACATGCTCGATGAAATCTCGAATTTGAAGAATTGTTGTGGGAGGTCGATTTGATGTTATAATAGAAATTTCGTACTTCACTGATTCACTAAAGCTTGAGGCTCGGTATCCTTACGGTAGAAGTTTGTTGAATAACGTGTTTTGAAGAGATAGAGCTGGAAATAGAGCTGGAACTGCGGGACATAGTTGATACTGTAGCATAGTGCCGTTGACGGATTTAGGCTGCACACCTATTTACTCTTTATGTTCACCATCTCCATCATTTCCATCTCCTTCACTCTCGTCGCTCTCGTCGCTTTCTTCGCTCTCTTGGTCCAAAACCTTGAGCGGCTCGCCTAACATTTTCCCGTAGACCATCACTGCAGCCACTCCGTCCGTGCTCTGATCCCAGTCTCCTTCGACATAGAACCGCAATTGCAGCCCTTCCCTCACAAACCAAACACAATAACGGTCCTCATGATCAAAGTCGGCCGGATGAGAAGGTTCCTTATCCTCTTCGCCAGGCTGAAGCGTTTCAACACGTAAAGAAACCCCCGGGGCCAAGTAAGCCGGAGCAAGCAGAGTATCTGAGTCCCAGACTTTCGCCGCGGCGGGAACCTTCTCACCATCGCCATTTTCATGGGGTGTCGGAAATTCAACGGCGAAGAGCTCTATGTTGGGCGGTTCGAATCTTCTAGCGTGGTACATCGCTGACATCCAATTGCCAACATCATAAAAGACATGGTTCCACATATAATAGATTTGGTCGCGCCATGGTGTATGCAAAGTCTTTGTGTCCGGGTTCCGTGGAAGTTGTTCACGCTCCTCTAAGGTGAGTGGATCGACTTCTTCCTTCCAGACCTTGAAGTCGCCGACGGGTGGGTTATTGCATTCTGAGGTTGATCTCTGGACGACCCATCCGAGAACGAGAAGTTTTGCAATGGTAGCTTGGGAGGAATGGTTTTCCCCAAATCCGATTTTGCGAACTCCTGGGTATGGTAATTGAGTGAAAGCATGCGGGCCGCCGGGGCCGAGGTAGATCATTGAATGCATGCTGAGGGGCATTATTGTAGCCATGCTTGGAAGTTGAAGTTGGTTAATTGAAACAGGGTAGACAAGTGATTAAACCTCTTTTTAAGGAAAGATACAGAGAATCCTAGAGAACTTGACAGATTGGCAAATTTT